GAGAGAGAGAGAGAGAGAGAGAGAGAGAGAGAGAGAGAGAGAATTTTAAAAAATGCTGAAATCAAGGGAGAAGCCCGCAAGCTGCGCACATCCACAAGTGAAAGTGTGAAGCCTTTAAGTATTCAAAATGTAAAAAAACTTTAATTCTTTTAATTCTTCTATTTTGCTGGAGAAATATTCGCCACTGTGGATGTACTGGCAAACGTCAGACATAATGTTCTAAGATTCTTATGTTAAAAATAATAAAAAGCGGGCTCCGACGTGCTCTTAGGAATGTTGAATGCTACCTTCGTTAAAAGTTTGAGCTTTGAAAAGTGTTTGTTTCGTTTCTGAAAAGTGGCGCAAATATCGGGCCTTCAGAATTACTTTGCTTGCGCTAATATATAAACGTAAATGAACGCACCTGTAGGTAGAATCGCTAATGGAATCTGTCTTTGACAATATAAGCGACATGACTGTACTGAAGATAGAGCCCTGTTCATGAGAGAAAGTGCAGTTGATTGTCAGTTGATCTGTAAATCCTTCGTGTATCTGGTTGGGGGTAACCTCTAAGCTCACCCCATTGCCTGAAGGAACCCGAGGCGAACTCATCGAATCTGTGTAAGAAAAGAGCAAATCTGAAGGAACCGTAAAGCAGAATCAAGCATAATGCAAGCTGAACTGTACTGTTTTACGTAATAACATAACGTGTTAACTGATAGAGATTGGGGTTACGATATCTGTAGGGTTAGGGTACTTCTCTGTCTTGTTATACACATGATACCTATTCCTATCATGGTAAAGTTTGGGGTATAGTTACTCTTCTTTCCTGCTCTACACTTAGTTAAACCAGCTAGACATCCTTAGCAACATTCTAGCTTTCCAAATTTGATGTCCAGATTTCAGTGTGAAAGGTTGAGTTTAATTCTTTTTCCTGCCTCTTATGTTGATTTACCACAGATTGTTGTGTATATTAACACACAAAAAAAGGAGGTTCAGGCAGGTACTTTGTGATTTAGGAAAATTCGGGGCAAAAAGGGGGGGGGGCGGGTCGCTTTAACGTAGAATTGTTTTACATTTACGGGTACTTTTCATTACTTCTCAGTTTTGTTTTTTCTTAATACAGCATAGCATTTAATTCTCATTATTAAAATAAGAGTGCGTCTTGGCAAACATTTAAAGGCACTCACCCGCTAGTGACGCTGACAGAAACAGGGCGAAAACGGCTTGCCACATCCTGGAGACAGACATGTCCTTCCCTCTGTAAGATATGCTCGAGACTGCCTGGCGTTGTGATGATAAGCCGGTGGTTAAGGAGGAAGATTGGTTAGGCGAGATACTCGATTAGTACGGTCTTTATGATTGGCCATCGGTGTCAGGGATCTATTATTACACGCCAAAACAAGAGAGTGAGGGACAAATAGCTCCATTTTTATTTTATCAAACATGATTTCCAGTAGAAAATAAACGGTGAAGTGACTTAGAAGCCAACTAGACGATGATGTTATCCAAACGATGGTACAAGCATCAAAACAGTTCTGTATCATGACTTTTATAATATTTCATAACTACATGCAGTTTATATCATGACAATTAGAAATCATAACAATATTGATTACAATCTCGTATTCTGATTATTACAGATCAAGACTATTTCACACAGAAACCATTCTAACTTTTGGAGGCACTTTTAGGTTGTCTTTTTCCTTGAAAACGAAGCCAGACTGAATGAACAACAAAACAACAAACACGCAAATTATGTCGTGGAATGTAGCAATGTTCTTATTGGGAAAAAATTATCGGAATGGTGGCTAAAATGGTTGTTTGGATGATGCAAATGTTGTTGTTAACGATGATGAAGATTATCATGACTTTTATCGCCGGAATGGGCAGTTCTTAAGTTTAACGCTCTGCTTTCAGAGAAGACGTTAGATTTGCTGGTCCCACTAGTAAAATTTAATTTCAGATGTTGAAAGAAGCTTTAAGGTTATAACATGTACAATGCTGAGGGCTGAGTGGACAAAGTGTCAGTAAGATGAGGCTTTGTGAATGAAGAATCGAATTTCGTAATGGGGAATGTTCTCGATGAATTCGACTATGCATAAAATCGTGGCTGCTCTGAAAACAGCCCAAGGTCAACCAGAGGAAATACTCGTGTGAGCTAGTACATTTTAGCGTGTGATTAACCGCAAAAGTTAAGTAGGCTTGCTAAAAAAAGGAGACAATTTTGTTAAAAATAAAGAAAAACATGCATTAAAACATGAGTGCTTCGCGTTATCAGAACCAGACAAACTGGTGGCATCGTCAAGGGTTTTTAAAATCGCACTAGTGTGCCCGATGCTGATAACGCCAAGCACGTATGTCTTAGTGCAAGTTTTGAAAGATGATTTGAGCAGCATATTATACAAACAACCTCGTTACAGTCTGGTGTTCTAATTTGTAGTTATTATCGCGGTACCGGTTCCATTTCTTCAGTATAAGGAAGTTTCTTACCTACAAATTCACTATTCAGGCGAGCTTTGCTTGTGCTTTTGGCCCAGAACATAATGGACATGATGTAGTATTCATAGTTATAAACTGTAATAATCAAGTTACATAGTTTTCATGTTTTTAATATAAAAAAGCCATAATATATAAAGTTTAGCTAGGTAATAGTCATGGCATGATACAACAAGTTATGACATATTATAGTTTATTTCCTCCTCCTACACAATGCGACCCTCACCTCCTTTAATCCCGGAGATCCAGACTCTGTTCAAGACATTGGTTGTGAGCGTGAGTCAGGCTAATTTGGTGCATGCGATGTTGAAGTAGTTCTCGTTTAGTTGTGATGGCAGGCAAAATAGTGAAAATGTCTCTCCTGCGTATCTGACTGAGGTACCCTGCAATCTTCTGTAAATGGATTCCATTTTATTTGGATCTTTGGATCCTCGAAACTGTACGAGTTACATGTAAATCTCTATATAATGTAAAAGTCACAATCCTTCATTATTTTGTTTGGAATTCCTATCTAGCACACGGCTCTGCCCCCCCCCCCCCTTTGATTTTAATATGTGCAACAGTTTTTCACAGGCCTAGTTTGCCAAATTCTATTAAAGTATTTGAGTATATTGATGACAGTCATAATTACAGCATTTTAACACTGTAGTTCTAACTTAAGTTTTTTAAATTCTCCACCTTCAAATTGGTGTCGGAGAGATAGTTCCTCTAAAATGTAAATTCAGTGTTGCTCAATATTTCTTCCTTTTTGTATGCAAATCAAAGTTAGCGGCAACCCTTACGAGGCTATTTATCGACTAAACCACGAATAATTATTCTGCAAGGATTTCGCCTTGTGTGGTCCTTGAAGGTGAATGAGACCCGGATGTTCTTGGCGACCCAGTTGTTACAGATTTCCGTTGCCTGAAGTGTTCTTCAGATGTGAAGGTAGAGTGTGTACTTGAATACGGTGCCTCGAGGGACAAGCTCCCAAAATCAAGAGGCTATGATAGCGATGCAACAAAACTACAACAAACAACACAACAAAAAAACAACAACAACGACAGCAACAACAACAACAACAACAACAACAACTACTACTACTACTACGACTACGACTACTACGACTACTACTACTACTACATGTACTACTGCTACTACTACTATTACCACAACCACCACTAATAGCAACTTGCTGTTGGAAGAAGAAACAAACAAGTTAATAAAGTGGATTTAAATATAATATGGTGTTTTAGATAAGATTTAAATGCGGTCAAAGTAGGCACCTCTCTTTTTTCATTACAAGGCACAGTGCTGATTTGTTGTTTTTTTTTTTTTTGTTATTGGTGGATCGTAAATTTAGATAATATGCAATAGATCTATATTCCTGTAGTAAATTAGAACGTTATCGTGGTGTCAGATTGTTTAAACACGTATAGCACATTTCTGCAACTTACAATGGTCCTCTGAAGATTAAAGAAAGTAAGTTCAACCACCTGCAGCAGTTGTAAGAAGTACTGCACAGAGACCATATTGACCTTTTTATGACTACCTACATCATTGAACAATTAAAGACGTTAAGAAGACATGAGACGAATCATTTTATTGACGATGTGTTCACCATTATCATGCACATAGCACTTTATCCAAAAGCACGTTTCATCATAATTTTACAAATGCGCTCGTGTGTGTGTGTGTCTGTGTGTGTGAGTATGTGTGTTGATTGTTAGTTTTTTTGTGGGTAAGTGTGAGTGGGAGTGGGAGTGTAAGTGTAAGCGTGAGTGTGAGAGTTGGAATGGCAGTGAGTGAGTTTGTGTGAGTGATCAGTGAGTGAGTGAATGAGTGAGTGAGTGAGTGAATGAGCGAGCGAGAGAGTGAGTGAGTGGGTGAGTGAGTGAATGAATGAGCGAGTGTGTGAGTGTCAGTGCATCCGCCCCTCTGACGCCGACGCCAACGCCGAGCCCTACTGAGGCAAAATGCTGCTTAAGGCGTTTCGTCACAGGATAGCAGACCACCCACCTTTGACCCTTAGACGCCATAATTATTATCTGCACTGAGATACTAGGGCCTAATTAAGGCCTGGACAGTATATCAAACTCCACGTTAAGCAACTTAAAACAACCATTTCCACTTGATATGCCTCGGGAGAATTCTTGGCATCAAACGACAGAGATAGAATATTAACACCGAACTTGTCCAAAGGATAAATGCCGAGAAACTTGTTTTCTTGACTAAAAAAGTTCTCAACTTCGATGGGTTGGCTATGTCGCAAGAATATCTGACTTTAGAATCCCAATGACAGTATTTTTGTCTGAGCTAAGTTGTTTGATCAGCTATTGCTCGGGGAAGCATAAATTTGGCGCACCTCCCCAAAAAGTGCTACAACGACGCCCTGAAGTCTCTGAAAGAACTTCCAATTTAATTCCTCGATGGGCTTATGTGACTTCACGAATTGAAAATATTGAAGCCAAAAGAGAATCCAAGAATTAAAAAATGAAGTTGTTAAATTATCAAAATAAATCTGCCGGAATTGGTCCCACTGATCATAGCAGAAGCCACGAGTCATCTGAGCCTTTATTTCTTCTTTTTGGCCTAAGTAATATTTTTTCTTTGCAAACGCATTGGTCACAATCAGACATTGATGGACGAATTATTATCATTACTATTTTTATTACTTTTACTATTATTCTTATTATTACTACTACTATTGATATTACACACTCACAAAAAAACCCAACAACAATTACACAAAATATGGGTAATACAAAAAAGTATTTTTATTGGACATCATTATATCAGGATAAATTTAATCACAACTATATGCTAAACATATTAAGTACCACAACCTTGCTTTAAAAACAGCCTTCAGCACTGCATCAAATGACAGTAAAAAATATTGGTATAACATTGAACTATAAGAAATATATTTTTAAAATACATGTTTACAGTAATACAAATTGTAAATAGGTTTAATATCAATGTAATTGTAAATCATTTCAATTAAAGAATATCAATAGAATGTTCAGGGAGTATAAGACTGCACCATACCAAAGTTCGAAAAGTAACATTGAGCACTACATGTAATACAAACTATGGAAAGGTCAATCTTGCATCCACGTTTTGCATGTTATTTAAAAGCATGATAGCTTCTTCAAGTATTCTCATTAAAACGTGACAGCTCTAACTAATACACAGCACAAATGAAGTGGATTGTCTTCTAATAGCAGGTAAAGTTCAGCTGAAGCAAAAACGAAAAGAACAAGCTTTTCTTTGGTAAATGGGAAGAGTCTGGGCAAAGTTTTTTAATCAAATTAATTCTTTTAAAAAAAATACATTGTCTTTAATATATCAATTTTCATGACACGCATTTTTGGCTGTCAGAAAATATTTTAGTTATAATGAATAATACGTCCAAAAATCTTAGCCCTTTGAATTCTGACCCTTTGAGCCCACAAAGAAATGACTGCTATATTAACTCCACTGCAGGCTGAGTGCTGCATTTGGTTTGCTGAAGAGTATAAGGAAAGTCAGCACCGAATATTGGCATTAGCTCTGTAAGGTTAAAGACCAGTGTCTTTCAGCAGAATTATAGTCATATAATACATTTTTATAAAATAATTGGGAATGTTCACTAAAAACAGGAATGTGGTAGCTTTCTTCAGTCTATATGGACAACACATTCTGACAATAATTCTAAAAATGTGCAAATAAAGCAGTATGCTGTAAGTGAAAAATAAGAGCTTGCTGAAAATTCTGACAAACAAAAAATATTTCAAGCAGTGCCTAACAACCGCAGCCCAATCAGTAAAAGTACACAAAAAGTCTCATTACAAAATCAACAACAAAGGAACCAAAAAGACTTGACCCAACGTATCCTAAATCTAAAATAAAATAGGAATTTTTAAAGTGCAAATCCCCCAAAATGAGAGTCATTGTAGTTCATATTGCTGAATGTTTGATAATGAAATTATGGCAACTTAATTTTAAAGTGCAAAGAAATGTATATTTGTGTATTGTAAAATACATAGTGTGATTATTATCATAGATAAAAAACACAATTTTCTCACAGCAGAATCACTATTTCATTTCATATTGTGACAGATGAAGATCTTTCTTCCTTGAGTAATAATGCAATATTAACATACAAAAATCTCAATGAAGACCAAGGACATAGAAATATCAGGCAATTTTTAAAAAACCCCAAAAAACAACATTTTTGCAGCTTAATATTATGATGAGGTATGCGGCTGGCTGGAAAATAAAAATGATTGAGCTTGTGCAAACATTCGGTCTGATCACAAGGCTAGTCTTCGATGTAAGCACAAGCATGTAATAGTGCTTATTCCTGAATTTTATGAATGCATGTCAGGACCTGCGTATTTGTTAGTATGGGTATGTGTTCATGTGAGCCTGTGTCCTGAAGAGGGCATCTAATGACTAATGTGTGTGTGTGTGTGTGTGTGTGTGTGTGTGTGTGTGTGAGTAAGAGAGAATTTTTGCCTCGTATAATGTGATAGTACTTATGTGTGTGTTTAGTTCTAGTATGAGTTTTACGGCACTTGCAACACTATAAGGTCATATAAGTGCCGAAGATTAGAGGTGCTACAAGAGAGTAACAAACACAAAAAAAAGGAGGAGGAGAGAGAAGGATGATTGTTTTTGATAGGAAAGAAGGAGCAAACCACACCAGAGCACCCACCAACCACCCACATGTGGGTGTATCTGTGTGTTTATGAGCTAGAATGTAATAGAGAATGAACATACTTGCAGGTACTTTTCTTGTTCAAAAGAACAGAATATGTTCAGGCGTGTATTGTCATAGGTGTGCGAGCACAAAACAATTTCATTCAGAATTTAATTCTGAAAGCTCGTATATAAGTTGGAGTAGATTATAACAACTGATTTTTAAAAAACCTGAAGTTTGAGCAAACAAAGCCAGAAAATATACATTTTGGATAACCTTAAAGCTAACTATAACTTGAACAGAAATTATGTGTCAAGAGACATTTACGGAATATCATAGAAAAAATAGGAATCAAAATAAATAAATGAATAAATTAAAAAAAGCATGAACTTTGCACTTGATATTGCCATTAATTGATGAAAAAGTTTAGCAAGAACTTGGTATCCTAAGAGGTGCATATAAAATATCAACACCACTTTTGGAAAGCAGAGGTGTAAAACATCAACAAAAAGATAATATCTTTCATATATATATTTTGAGCAACAAAAACAACGAATTACTGGACGGTTCAGAATATCACAGGGTAAAGGAATGAGTACAAAATTCCAAACAAGACTGTTTAAAAAAAACACAGCAGATTTAAAAAAATAATGCCTTGTGTAAACAAAACATTAATAAAAATCCAAACTATGTTAAGAAAGGCCATGGAAAAATAAAACCAAGACAAAGAGGTGCATTAGTAACCAAACCAGAAATACAAATTCAAACCAAACCATAAAACATTTTGAAGTATATCATAGCTCAAGCAGAATAATATATACAGTAGGCCTATATATGAGCCAAAACGCAGTGGAATCAGGTGCTTATCATATTTTGGGCATGTGGAGCTGTCAGTACCATCTTAAAGCTTGTTCAGTAAATATTTGAGATTGATGGAGATGGGGGTCGCCTGGTTTCTGCTGGAAAATTAGCAAGAAAATGGCTGCCAAAGTTTGGTGACTTCCAAAACTTAGAGTCCTTGGAGACTGAAAATTTACTTTGTGTGCCTTTAATCAACGTTTTTTAGACAAACGAATAGAGCAATGCACTTTTAAATGGAGCTAAAAGGTATTGAGCCAAAAAACCAAAAATACGAAAAAAATTGCAAAATGGTCGAAAAAATGCTGGTATCATCGATATCATTATAATTTTGACGAGCGCCTAATTTCACCACGATGCCTCACGTATTGTCAGCAAGCTGTTCAATTGTGCTAAGCCCAGGAAGCAACATTGTTCAGGAGAGAGAAAAAATTGTTTCATTCTTTTAACAGTTACGGATGTACTTACATTGTGTACCGTTGTTTGCTTTTTTCAACATTTAGAATTTGAGTTTCGGAAAAATATTTCCCTAGCTCATGCAGTCAAAATCACAGAAATAAGAAACTCGCAATTAAAAAAAAAATTAAAAAATTGTGGGTTTAGTACATCTGAATAGCTAGCTGGCTGATGATATGTTATATTTTGTATAAATTTGAAATCAAATAACATAGCAAAGATAAATTTGTCGCTCAATAAAACAGTCATGGTACAGGAAATAATAATATCATCATATCACAACTCTGATGTAAGTACAATCCCAAAAGGACAAGGGGTCACAAAACATTAAGTTTGAGTCATTCAACAATAACAACAACAAAAAAAGAAAAGAGAAAAAGGTGCTGGGAAAAATCATTTTGTGCACATTTTTGCTGATGCTGCTTGTGGCATTCAGAAGTTGACAAGATGGTCTTTCTAAGACTAGCAGTGCATGAGAACCACAGAGAAAGTCCTTGAGTCCAGAACATGAAAGAAAGCAATTTTTCTTTGAATTGCACAGTCTTATACAACTATTTGCAAATTCTTTAAAGGCTTACCATCATCTTACCATTTACTGTTGTACATGAAAAAGTAATAATATCATAAGAACAGACGTAAGGCAGAACATACATTTTTCTTACAAAAATTCACCAAAGGGACGCCAGAAACTTCATAACATGTGGATCAAAAATATATCTTTAAATGAAAAACTACTTCCAACAATATCAACATGCTTCATACCCTCAACGGTAACATTATCTTTGCATCATCTTTCAATACACTTCACATTTTAACGACTGAAGCCCTTCACAAAAGACCCACTTATTCTGCCATAAGCACAATTAGCAAGATAATTCATATTGCAAACATGCCTGTTCTACCGCACAAATAATCACATCTATATTATGAAGGGATAAAAAATGATTCAAATAGCCATCAATAACAAGGTTCAACAATGGAAACTAAAGTTCAAGATTTTTGCTCAGAGTGTGTTCCCAAAAGACGGAATCCTTTTGAAATGCTAGGCAAATCTTTCGGGACAAACTACTATTACTTTGAATATAGAAAGGAATTCTGTGACTGCAACACCTGAATATATAACCTGAGGCACATTTGAGGCGACATAACTTTTAAAACCAAGGTAACCAATAGATAATATAAACTTTAACTAAACTACAAAAATGAGGAAAAGCCAAATCAGAACCAAAAATAACAGATAAAGAATCATATCTCTCCATCCTCCCCCCCTGCCCAACTTCCTAAATCCATGAAACATACACCTCATCTCATTCCTCTCTCCCCACCATTTTAAAAGCTCTGACAATTAATTGGGACAAAGATAATAAATGATGGTACTGACGACATTAAAGGAGCACCACTGTCAGTTGACTCTTTGTTCTTTAAGACAGCTCAGACACAAAGGCTCATACCATATCTTTTTGAAACATACGTTTCAGCCCCCAAAATATGCTGCAGACACAAGTTTATCTGACCTATGATGCCTAAATGAAAAGTAAAGTACAGAACAGACGAACAGCAACATTAATGGGAAAAAAGATGCAGCCCCTCTCACAAGTGGATCTTTGTCATTACATACTAATTGCTACATTACTACAAGCTACTATTAAATGCCACATATATCAATTTTATGAGCGAACTGTCAAAGTTCTCACAATTGATTGCAACAATAAAGTGTAAGATACATGATTTATGTTCAACTTTGATTTACTAAATTTCAAAGGAATGCTTCTTTAGCTTAAAGAAGCTTGCTGGAGAAGTGACTGCTCCTGTTGGCCCGCTCAAATCGACTGTGGAGACTCATTTCTCCATCTCTGCCTCGTGACAGGTGGCGCCTTAACCTGGGACGACTAATGCGGATAGATGTCTGGCTATGTGCAGACACATCTGACACATTTCCATCATCTCCCATATGTGAATGTGCGGACACAGTCAAATTAGAAGCTCTTGGAGAATAGATGTCTAGCGGTATTGGCTCTTCATCTGAGTCAAGCTGTTGCTCTGGAGCTGCAAAGCGAAACTGTTGTGGAATGGCTATGATAGGGCTCCTCGAATCGCTGGGAAGGGCTAATGCCCCGCTGTGAAAACTTCCCATTTGTGGTGTTGTCTCCTGACGGCGCTGGTGCTGTCGCTGCCGGGGCTCTCGAGAGAGTGTGAGCGTCGACGTTGTGGTCTTATTCTGCTGTTTGTCAGCTTCAGTGACAAAGGCATCTGGAGACTGATTCTCATCATCAGAAATAACTTTATCATGAAGCTGTTTCACATCCTCCTCAGGCGTTAGGATGTTCATGTGCTTTTCTTCATGTATGGTCAACAGATCTGGTGCGGGACTTACGTCCCTATCTTTCTTCTTCTTGTGTTTTTTATGCTTGCGGTGCCTTCTCTCTTCCTTGCTGTCCACCTGCAAATATAACAATTTTAACGTAAAAAAAAAATCAAAAACAGAATTTTTGAAGGTGGAACTTAACAGTAGCCCCTGTAAGCAAACATCAGAATGAAACAAAACATGAAGATTTTAAGTTTTGTTATGGGTTTTCATTGTCGATCTGTATTATGTATTAACAAGTGGCATCTCACCACTGGAGTAAGAATCTGACTAACCTGCCTTAGGACAATGTTACAAATGTTTTCACAAGGCATGAGCTCAACTAAAGGCAGAAATTGGTACTTATCTTAAAATGAAAACTCTCATTAAGAAAACTATTTAATGTACCACAGACACCGAATAACTATCATGAGATGTCCCAGCAAGAACAGATGGGAATCTTTAGACTAAGAACACAACACACAATACTAAAACAACAAATGTACAGATGTTTAAAACTACTACATTCACCAAAATGTAAATGTGAAGAAGCAGACTAAAACGTGAAACGCATCCTCAGCTGCACACGACACATAGACAGGAAACATAGCCAACCCATTCAACACTATAGGAGAAACTAGATGCGTCAACAGAGGGGTTGAGCACAATGGTTCAGTACATGATAGAGAGGGGACTTCAAGTGCGATGTGATAAAAAAAAAGAAGGTAGGCCTACCATATCTATCAGTCTTAAACAGATAAGAAAGAATTGTCACAACACAGGATGAACTAGGAACTATAAATAATAAAATGATAACATAAGATGTATCAACATCTATATCAAAAGTAATGGGAGACATGACATTAACTCCTCATTTCCAGCAAGCTGCTCCCAGCAGCTCATGGTCAGAACTGCTGTACTCAGATCCTTGTAAATGTATTAAATATGATATTTTTTACATTCTGGTTGGCAGCTATGTATAATTATTATTAGTATTATTATTATTATTATGAAGATTATGATTATGCTTACTATTATTATAGTGAATATTTTCATTATTATTATTATTATTATGATGAAGATTATGATTATTATTATGATAATGAATATTATAATTATTATTATTATTATTAAGATAATTATGATTATTATTATGATAGTGAATATTATCATTATTATTATTATTATTATGATAATTATGATTATTATTATGACTATTACATCTGTTTTGATGGGGTCCTCTGTGTTGGTGACCTTCAGCGTCTCCTCTGGCTCCGTCTCACCCAGGCCAAACTCGGCATAGACAGTGTTGGCCGAGGTCATGGAGGGCATCATGTTGTACTGCTCGGCTATGAGCTCGTCCTCAATCACTCTCGTCAGGTCGTCCATCCTGCAGAGGCAAAAGTGAGCACAGTGGTTAACATTAATGAATACAGAGAAAGAGTAGTGGCTGGTTGGCGGGTGCTCTGGTGGTGTGGTTTGCTCGTTCTTTCCAATGCAACATCTATCATTCTTATCTCCCCTCCTTCTTTCTTGTGTTTGTTACTCTCTTGAGACACCTATCATCCTTATATCCCCTCCTTTTTATTTTTGTTTGTTACTCTCTTGTCACACCTTTAATCTTCAGCACTTTAATGACCTATTTTGTTTTACAAGCGCAGTGATGTGGTAAAACTCTTACTAAAATTAAAGAAAAAGAGTGACAAATTTAACTAAATAGTGTGGTGTATGATGTGACATACAGCATTCTACGAACAAAAGAGAAAAATTTTTTTTTTAGAAGAAACAGATTGCTCATTTATCATCAGGGCTTTAGAGCTTTACGCAACTTTTGTTCTTCAAATATTCAAGTGCTTGTTCACAGACTTAAAGAAAAATACATCATCACAATGACAGCACTGATTGTGATTTTTTTGCAAAGATTTGGTTTTGTTCTTATTTATGTTGGACAACAATGTCCTTCTGCACAACTAAACGAACAAGGGTGCTCCGTTAGCTCAGTAGGTATCAAGTTGAACTATGGAGCAGATGGTCTTGGTTCAAATTCCAGACTGGGTGTTATTGAACTCAGGTTATTTGGTGGAGTTTTCAAGGCTAAAATCAAAACATACGAATGCTACACAATCAGCTGCGTGAAATGACTTTATATGCTCATAACATTGAGATATATTTGTATTGACATCTATATTCTCATGCATACTGAAAATCATATTATTATATGTCACAATGCGGTGGAATCAGGCGCTCGTAAATTTTTGGGCATAAGGAGCTTTTGGTTTCAGCTTGAAACTGGTTCTATTATCTTGCTTTTAATGTGAAAGAAAAACAAAACGTTCATGTATCTTGAATAGAAGTAGAGATATTTGTGATTGAATGAGATAGGGGTCGCCAGGTGTTAGAAGCAAAATTAGCGAGAAAATGGCTGCCAAAGTTCATTCACTGCCAAAGCTTGATATCCTTGGAAACTGAAAATTCTTATTTTTTTGTGATCCTTTGATCAACATAAAAAAAAGAGTAAAATCCACACAGAGATCAGATGTGTTTTTGAATGGACATGTTGTTGTTGTTGTTATCGATCCAGCAACAGCTGGGCTCTCGCCCTTCTGTCCAATGCCATGTAGTGATAAGTGCAGGTTTGCTGCAGTTGCTGTAAAGTTCCAGAGAAGGTGTTGTCAATGTTAGGTCTCGGAGGGAGAAGGGTGGCTCTGATGTCATTTAGGGCTGTGCAGTGGAACAGGTGATGATCCACAGTCTCATATGCATAGTCACACAAGGGACACATTGGGGGAAGTTCCGGGTTTATTCTGTTCAGGTGGAAGTTGAGCTGTACATGTTCTGTTCGTAGGCGGAAGATCGTGGTCTGTTTCTTCCTTTGTATGTGGTTGATATTATCACTCCTTTTTGTTGTGGTCATTTGTTTGAAAACTGCTCTGCCTGTTGAATGGACATAAAAGGTGTTGAACCCCCCCCCCAAATTGGTAACTACCCTACAAATGGAAAAATGTCGGGGTTTTAAATTTCGTTATCTTGACGAGCACCTGATTTCACTACAATACCACAAATATGTACTTTGTAAAGTTTTCTTTACAGAAGTAAATGCAGTCCACCCAATTCAATTAAACATGTTAATTCACCTAGTTTGTAGTAGTTTGAACTTCATGTCCATGGATTGCATCACATTGGCCTTTATGGCTCTCAGTCGGTTGGCCATCATCTCCTTCTCAAACAAAGCCAGGTACTCCAGATGGTGTTTTAGAAACTGTGCACCTGAAGGAAAGGAAACGTTTCCACAATATGGAATTTGAGACCACAAGCTCATAGTCCAAAAGTACAAGCAAGTGCAATGGTTTAACTGAGTCATCTGAATATATACTAATGAAACGTTACAAGCATCATCAATACTGGTACTATTATCTTTTAAATTTTATTCATGGATCAGGTCTATAAAACACCCAATTTGCACCTGAGACATGTATCTAGTTAAGAGTTAAGTTAGTGAAGCTTAAATGTAAGTCTCCAGAGTAAAAACTTCCCTTTCAGACCTTACAAAAAAATACCACAAACCCCAAAAAACAAACCCAAAAGTCTCTAGTAAAAAGTAATTCAGTTTCACCATCAATTCTAACTTCCAAGTGGCATTAGTTTAATTTAAAAGCATTCAGATTGATGACATAGCAATCTTCCAGAAAAAGAACACTCTTAACCCCTACCCACCACCCCCCACCTTCCTCCAAGAAAAAAACAACCAAACCCCCCACCATCAAAAATTGGCCTTTGTATCATTTCCCCCCAATTCAAAGTAAATCAAGAGTGTTAATACACATTCAGTATTGAAAAATATGAATTCACTCTCTAGAATGATGAAGACAAACTTACTCCGTGTGTGTTTCCTGCAAACTACTGTTTTGTACAACCAGCGGAGTAGGTAACCAAAGTGAAAAATGATGCTGAACGGAGGGAACAGAAGTGGACTGTTCTGGAACTCCATGACTAGGAAATACATTTGGAATTTCCAGATCTCAATGGCATTCTTTTCCACTGTTTCAAAGACGTGACTGCAAAATTGGAACAGAAAGTGAGATTACAAAATGAGACATTACAAATGAAGAAAACTCCATGAGTAGACAGAAGAGAAACAGCAACGGGTATATATATATATATATATATGATATATATATATATATATATATATATAATTCCTTATCTGTGTTTGGATAAAAAAAATACATGAGAAATGACAGCAACAAAAGGAGTAAATAACAGAAGGGCCATAATATCTTCAGGAAAACCAATGTTAATGAACAAGCAAGACAACAGAGGGGAATCCATACAGCATCCTCCAGCCCTTCACTCACCTGAAAATGGCGATGAGGAGGTTGATGAGAAGTACATTGCCAACCAGCAGGTAGCCAGCAAGGAGTATAGGTACCAGCCAGTGGAACTGCCGACATGTGTTGACCGAATCACTCAGAGTGCCATTCAGTGAGGCGGTCAGTGTTTGTATACAGTTTTCATCAGCTGGGAAAACCAAATAAACAACGCATATCACTTTCAGACAAATATGTCAGTTAATTCCATGAACCCAATTAAAATGTAAGTCACTTCGTCACATGGCAAACTGTATTCAAAATATATTCAAGATCTTGACAAACTTGTTTGAAAAAAAATACCACCCAAAAACAACTTCAAGTCTTTTTTCTTCTTCTAAATATACGTTTTTCAATGCTCCCATCGACACGAGTTAGATAATTTACGAGACTGGCTTCTGACACTACCTGTCAGGGTCAACACAGGCTGAAAGGGATACAACGTCCAAGCAGGAACACCTAGATACTCAATTAAAAACTCTCCCCACCCTGAAAATGAACTTGGGTATCCTGCATGTGACAGCAAAGCTCCTAATCACTAGACAGAAAGAAGCTTGTCAACCTAAGTCTGATCCAGATCATAAACATATGCAATTGTACGGAGACCTATGAAGTTAGCTATACACTGGAAAGTATAATGGTCGGCTCATGGGACCAGGGCTCATTGGGTTCACTGAGCCCCTCATTGTATATCAAAAGGACTTGCAGTACAACACTGAGAAACTCAGCTGGCATCTGTGGTACATTGAAAAGCACTTCTTTATCTGACATATGACAGATGTGAGTTCAACTTCCATGTGGGGGAGATATTTAGTCAAGTACATGTATCTCTATTTTTCTGCTGGAATATAGTATGCCACACAGTCCAAGTTGGCCCTGACAGGCAGGGTCAAAGTAGCCCACATGCTAAACTATCTCCATTACATTGATGGAGGCATAAATATCTACCAGTTTTCATGATCATACAATTTTCAACTGGAAGTAATCCCAAGTCACAAAGTCACAGCTCAGTATGACTGGCATATTATTCAGGAAACACAATCCTGTCTTCATGGCACTCACTCTCAAACTCCTCGAGAAAGATCTCGCCGTAGAGCTGCCAGTAGGGGAAGTAAAGAACGTCCTTTAGGATGACCCAGTCCCGCTGACGCTGCTTGTACAGCAGACCTTGGCTTGCCACACCGTAGGCCAACAGGAACACCATCAGCACGATGAGGAACATGGTAAGCTCCGCAAACTGCAAGAGAAAAATTATACACACCTTAAAAAAAACCCCCAACTTTTATATCGTTCATCTTCCTTGTTTATTATTCAATTTATCCGGTAAGCTAAAATTAAAGTAAGTTACTGAAATTTATGGGGGAGATCTTTGTGGGGTGCTATCTGGCACGAGACTGCTAAAATTGTGTCCAGAAAGGTACTAACTACCATTCATATCTGTTATACCATTAAACATCCTACTAGGGAGTTAAGCAACTGGTTTAATATAGTATATAATAAAACAAAAAAAAGTTGCATATGTCTGAATAGCCTGCATAATGGGAGTTTACTTAATGACAAAATATCAGATAAAAGAATCATACCACTTAATTTCAGCAGACGCTTTTTATCACTACACAGCACAGGACAGAAGGAAAAGAGCCCAGCTGTTGCTGGATCGAAAACAACAACAACAACCACCTAATTTCATGTGCTCTTTTATATAAATTCTATTTTACTGTCTACTTTGATTCTTCTGTCAATAAACAATTTAATGTGACCAGCAGCCACAGTGATGGTCTTTTTGTGTATGTGTTCTTTTGTCAAATTTGATATAGTATGAGTATGAGCGCACATTATGTACTTGAAACAATTGTTGCATAATGAAAGGGATCGTATGCATGAAATATGTCATTGGGTAAGCTGTCAAATTTAACACTTTACAGTCACTTGGCGCAATAATGCACTGGTGAAAATGATCCTTTCCAGTCAACTGGCGCAGTTCTGCGACAGGCCCGAAAAGTCCGTTGCAGTCACTCTCCTGGCTGGGTGACCAGATGGGGTATTTTATACTGCTGTTTGTACTGCTGGCTGTGTGACTGCAAAGTGTTAAATTATATTTCATTGTGAAGTTCTTAGAGATGCCAGGAAGTGGCGCCATGGAAATGATCTTTATTAATTATTACTGAACTAGAATATTGTTCCACTATACAAACTTATACTTTACCCACCATGCGATTTATCATGTAAATCTTGGGTCCCAACGTCCTGTTCGCAGTGTAGACTTTCATCAGTCGGAGGTAAAAGATGACGGCGTTGAAACAGTAGATGACTTTTCCGTCATACACATAGTACCATCGTACGATGAAAGCGATGAAAAACAGGATGTTATTGAGCAAATCAAATCTGTCCAGTAAACCAAAGTAGTCCCTGATCTTGCCCCAGAAGGTTGGTGAGGGGGACATTATCAGCTGCAGAGGGTTCAAATAATATGCATATAAGAAACTATTACATCACACAATAAACAAATTTGGAAAGACACTATGCACACATAATTCTTCAGACATTTCCAGCTAATTTAAAAGAAAGTGGAAATTGGTAAGAATAAAACTACACTTGTATTACCAGTTTACTCTGTACTGCTTTGATAAGAAAAAAATATATGAATCCTAAAAAAAAATTAAAGAATTTAAAAAAAGGGTAGCTTCCAATTCCCATAATTACTAGAATGGAATGATGAGGAAAACCATTTTTGGGGGGTTTATTTTGTAAGCTTTGCCGCAAATATGGGCCACACTATAAAAGACATTGTCATGTGGACTTTGCTGATGGAATTTAGAAGACAAAAAAAGTCCCTTTGTCTCAAGGATAAGTGTCCTTAGATGCAATGCTGCAACTTCGAAAAAAAAAGATATTCTGGAAAGACAAAAGAAGATTACCATAGATTCATAATCTCAAAGTCCAACTCTAAAGGAATCAAAATTTGTTCCTAAAAAACTTGTATCTTTTAAATGGATCAGATATACCTGAACAGGTAAGTTATGGTTTTGATTTTCTGCCTTTGAATTCAGCATACTATCATTCCATAGTTAAAGACTGTTCTACATACAGTTGAAATTGTCCAAGATGGCTATCCATTGTAAAGGAAAAACTTGGTTGTCTCAGACAGGTGGAGATCTTGGACAAGGTCATTATGATATTAAAAGAAGCAAAGGGGGAAGTGGGAAGTGGGAAGTGGTTGTATGTACAGGTGATTGCCTTGGACAGGTGATTGCCTTGGACAGGTGGCCGTGAGAGCACGTTCAACGGTAGATCGTTTCACAGCTCCACACACGGAGGTCTAAGACCTCCTCTGCTATAACTGCCAATAACAATAACCATGAAAAAACTTGATACTTATGCCACTATATGACAATCGACCCCTAGGCAAAAATGTGTTAGCTTCTAGATAAAACAACAACAACAACATCAACAACAGCGAAAACAACAAAAGTTATTCAATATTCACCGAATAAATGCCTCCAGCCAGGAAACTGCTGACCCACAATAAAAGAATCCACTCAGAAGCTGAAGGTGTTGTTCCGTAGTCCACTAACAGCACGTAGGAGTAGAGAATCAGGAATCCAAAATAGGACAGCTAGAAGAGAAACGGAAAACATCGGACATTAATGATATTGAAAATAATGCTTCTCTATTTCACTTATGAAAGATCAAGTGTTGACATGTCAGTGCCATGAGCATACGATACATTTTTTTAGCTTGGGGTCCAGATCCTAATTTTACCCAAATCCTGGCCTCCTGAGCTTCTGGGTTCAGGGTAAGAGCACTTCATCCTGAAAAAAAGCATGTTGACTGAAACTAGTGTCCGAACTGATTGAAAACTTCTGCCTTTTTCTGCCCAATAGTTCAACGCTCTTTCCTGACACCGGTAAACCCATGCAGGGGAAAATAATTGCCAAAGCATGCCCCCAGTGTACTGGGGTATATGCTGAAATTATTTTAGAAACAATCTATAAAAAATATATATTGGAAAAAATCTACAATAAAAAAGACACCGAGATATGTCACATTAAGAAAAAAAGAAAACAAAAGCAACAATCAAACTGATAAAAGCACATTTTCCGCTACTGACAATGCAAAGGAAGCTTATATACTCAAAAGTTCACCCATATAACAATATGAGGCATGCTCCTCAGTTCTAAAAGGTAGTGTATCCTTAAAAGGCATAAAGTCTTCAAAACATGAGCTCTATAACATTCAGTACTTCCTTTTCAAGCTTTCCTTGTGGAATTCTTTTGGGCCCGCTGAGGTTGGTAAAATATCATGTGTCTGGAAAAACTGTTCCTTGCAAAGGTCATACCACTTCTCTAGCGGAAAGGTGATGAAAATTTATTGAATCTGGTTCTCAATGTGATTCTAGTGATTTACCTAATCTGTTTTCTACAATCAGCAAAATTGGACAAGATGGACATCCTATTGATCACTTAAATTAGTTAAGTTCTGCCAAATCTCCATTATGTCTAGTGCAAAAGGTTAAAACAATACCCCTAACTGCAGCGGCTTAATGGCAATAGTGTCCATAAACCTCAACATCCACAGATGAGAGTCTAAGAGAGACTGATACAATGGGCATCTTACTGTGTGCATGGTAAACTTGGTCACAGGAGCTGTGTAGAATGTGAACACTTTTTGTGTCTTGGACATCACAGCCTTGCCCATGAGTCCAATGTCGACGCAGAAGAGGATAAATGGGGGAAACAGGACCCCAAGTACTACCTGCAAGTGCGGAAAACAGAATCAATTGTGGGCCAAAGAGAAAGGAAACAAAGTTTACATTTGAACAAGTTGCCATGCTCCTGTGCTTTCCATGGAATATTTTAAAACATAAATGTCATATCAATCCTTGGCATTCCAGACCTAAATTTCAAGGGGAGTGAAAATATCTTGAAAAAAATTCAGAGTCAACCAAATTGCACATAATATACCTTATTTGCTGTCAGCTCATACATAGAAAGAACATTTTTTAAAGCAACTTACGATTTTAATTTTAAAAATAGACTATTTAATTAAAGTTCAAGCTCAGAGCCTAAAACCCCCAGATTCTTTTAGTGAAATCCCTTGAGTTCCCTGTCCAAGAATGTCTTGATCGTTGAAGAAAATTGTGCAAGCATTATTTCCCCATAAGGAAGGGTTCGATAAGGATACTATTTTCAATAACTGTAAAGTACACAGAAAGGATAAGACTATGCATCTTTTCAAACTGTATGGTATTGCAGTGCACTATTTCACAGGTTCTAGGAATTCAGGGCTTGTATGAGGATAGCCATTAAGTAGGTACCAGAAACTACATTTTCAAAGTAGCTGTATGCCAAATTTATCAGTTCCATTTGAAAGGCCTATATCCACTGAGCATTTTGGTACCATTCTTTAACCTCTCAGTCAATTTTTAAGAAAATGGTAGTTGTTTAAAATTTGATCAGATTTGTTAAAGTCAGTCACTGGCTGCAGCCCCATGTTTGACAGATAATAAAAGAGTACCAAGAGCACTAAACATCTGCACATTAACAGAGTACAATCACTATAACAAATATATGGAGCCTAATTTTTTTCAAGACTATGAGATCTTTACAAATCAGTACTTTATCGCCTCAAACACGATGATCTGTCGTTATTTCGACAAAAACACCGAGCGTTGACCCCGTCGGCGCCGCACCGGGCCCCGCGGCGAGCGAGTTAGCTCTATACTGTAGTGTACCCCGTGTGCGGGGTCACATGCTTTCTGAGTCTCGCGGAAGGATTGATGAAAAATAGTTCCAAGCTGATTACTTTATTCTAATAGTAAATAAGCTGATCTTTTATTGGATATATTTTTTAAGCCGGTATTTTACATATTATGTGTAAAAAATGATCTTTAAACATTTTGACAGTATTTTTAAAAGCTTTCTTTTTAGACGCCAAAGGCCAAATACATACCACGGGAAAGCCCGTTTAAAGCTCTACAGTTCTTCACCAATGAAAAGACGGTATTTAATCATCGCTCGTTCCGCGAAGGATTTGAATGCACTCGTGTCAATTTTTCAATCGGCCGACCACGCATTCCGACCGCGAGGGGCTTCGCTTTCGTCGGCGATTCTCCAGCTCCTACTAATCGGACATAAAAACAACTTACACCATTGTAACGAGGAAAAGCTGAACTTTTACAAGGTGTACGGCATTTGGTGTTTTAAAGCGAAAGAGCAAAGAAACAGCGATCGGAATCACCCCGATTTCACCGATACCACGCGGTCGGAAGGCCGCGAGTGCCTGCGAGGCCATGTTTACGCTACCTACATTAAGACTAAATACATTCAGGGACAGGGCAGATGATGAGGGAGACAAGTCTTATAGTACCATGTACTTTGTTGTTACCTTTGGCCATCTGGACATGATCCCACTTTTCCAAACATTGTTGATGGAATCCTGACAAGCCACAGAAGACACAAATGCCTGGGAGGAGCAAAAATTAAGCATCAATAAAGTAAGAAAATTACATGATTGAGAAGGTGAAAAGAAATTTGATACAAAATCAGCAGTTTAATAAAAATCAGGAAACAGTTAAATTGCCTTCAATCACAGAAAATAACAATTTGAACATTTTTATTTCCTGAATTCAGTCTTCCTTGGGCAAATACTGCCATTCAATTAGAAGAATTCCCCGTGGCTAAATAGTGAGTGATCTGTTTTTAGCTTTCGATCCATTTCTAATATGAGCTTTAGAAAAGGCAAAAGAACAACACATAAAAAATGTAACACTCAGTTTAGAAAAAAACAAAATAAGGTTGTTGATTCTGAGTGGCTGGTGGCATTGGCCAACGAGCTGATCCTGTTTTGCCGAGCAGCAAGTGTCATCAGCTGATGAGAATGCAATAGTTAACTTCCATATAAACACCAAAAACAACTCAATATGTTCAAAGTATGACGAATATTCTACAATTAGGTGTCAAATTTTTGCCTTAGGAGTCTATTCATTTGGTTTATTGATAGTTTCATTAATCATGCACTGTTTCAGTTTGTGGGCTGATTGCACAAAAACGACTGCAACTTTGTGAATAATAATTTTTTTACATTGAAAAGTGACAAGCTCATTAGAATTGAATAAACACTGAATAAAGTACTCTTTTCTAGATTGACACATAAAGAAGTCTGTTCACTGCTTCTTTTTCCTGAAGAACAGAACCCAAATTTACCTGGTCACCAGCGGCCGCAGCAATCTGCAGACACGTCATGCGACTCCAAGTCGGGGATTTCCTCTCCACAACCATGATGGCTTTCTTTGGGTCTGTTGCGTGGCACTCATCAAGGACACTTATAGCCAGTTTCTCAAATTCACTTTGAAAAAAAACAACACTCAATCACTTCACATTACAAAAGTTATTGTAGTAGTTGATCTAAAATAACAACAAGTCAGCATAACAACCGTCAAAGAAAGTCAGGAGTAGATCCTTATCCGCTCATGGAAAAAAGATAATCATACTTAAAAACAATTCCAAACTTAAAAGTCTTGATGAACTGCCAATGTTTTTTTTCCTCTAAATCTCGATACTCATCCAAGAACCAAAAAAAGTATAATTTATACAATAACAGCAAAAGTATTAATTAAAATAATAGCAACAAAAGTGGAAACACGCCATGACTTTCTAAAGATTCGGTTTCAGGCTCTTTGAAAATATACTAGAAGGGACAAATGAAATTTAAAAAACAATGTAATAGAAGTTTCTTTTTCAAAGAAGTCACTAAAAGACCCTATTCCTACAACAATAAAATATACTATGAAAAGGCACCCTGTCTGTTTAGATCACCCTACTGTTGGGATGGAGACAAGTCTCCGTACTACTCTTGCCTAGTCTTTAATAATGAGAAAGAAAGTGTTTAGATAAATATTTGCCTATATATGGGTGTTATGTTGCCAAAATATAAAGGTTACTACACCTGTGTCTTTGCACTTACTTTTTCATGTCATGAAAACTGAGTCGTATAATATACAAATATTTCGGCACATGACATTCCATTTGCTGACAGAGTCGAGTGGCAACCAGAGCGCTGGTGATAGGCTCATCGCCAAACTCCCAAAACAGCTGAGCCATCTGGGATCTGTGCAAGAACACAGAAACATTGATGTAAAAAGACATTTGACAGAGCTCTGTACTTTGCTTAACTTTTCATCCTTTCAAAATTGAATTTTCAATGACTAATTCCTTAATTTGCAGACAGCTAATAACAAAAACAAACCAATAACATACTAAACATTCTACATCTAAATATGAATAGGCCTACCTAGATCAAGAATGCTGAAATAGCAAATTTCCTTTTCCTCTTGATCCAAAGCTATGCAAGACAAATGAAATGATATCATAAACTCAAAATGCCCAAAAATTGACGAGCGCCTGACTACACTGTGTCGTAGCACATTTATCATTTTACTCACGAACTAAGTGACCACCAGTACAGTGTTCTGACTTGACTTAATTCATAGTTTCAACACACCATCAATTTATCGTGTCAATGCAGTGTCTTCGTAATTCATTTAAAAGCCTGAAGCTACTTGTTTTCCCATGCACCCCAAACAACACACAGCACTCACAAACATGCGCACACATGTATAATTTTAATAAAAACCACCCTCTTAATCTTCACCTGGGTGGCAGTATCTCTAATGGGTTATATTTCATCATAGAGAATACAAATGGGGTAACCAGGACACCAAGCCATTGGAGCTGAGTTGAGCTTCTTAACGACTTTTATCTCCGCAAGCCGCTCCCAGGTCGGAATCGCTGTGCCGGTGAGCCACTGACAGCGGCTCGGGCACATTTCATTACGAGTGAACATTAAACTACTTTTTGGCAATTGCTGAAAACAGGTCTCTTTTATCGGGATTACATTCATTAGATGAAGAGAAATCAAATTAAGTTCACTTGTTTTGATTTGACGACCAATTTATCAACATTTTCATTATATTTAGATTTAGTAACAAAAAAAGGGCCCCAGCATAGTGGGTTTACCCCCCTCGGAGATAAAGAGTTAAAATCCGCAACAGAACACAAATCGATCAGAACTTGGGGGGTTGCTTTTGGTATCCTGAGGACCGGGTTCTAAGGCCAAGTCCACTGTGTTTTCTCTGATCTGTTTACACATCAGAGTCACAATGGTAATGTGTATACCAAGACAGCTGAGTGTCTGAGTTACTAAAAAAAAATGGGAGTGTATACAGACCCGGTAACCGGGAACAAAGTCGCGAAATATACTGATCCGGTAGGGGAAATCTTTTGAAATTTCGGAAAGTTTCAGCGCCCTCTTGGCTCAGGGTAGACTTAAGTTATTCTAGATCTATGGTCAAGGTTTAGATGTAGACAGACAGATATAAATTATAGATCTAGTTTCAAGGCCTAGATCTAAATGAAAATTGCGGATGTCTTTTCGATGAACGCTCGTTTTTCCTCCGTTTTGGAGTTGGAGGAATTAATAGACAATTTGAAGAAAAGAACAATGTTATCTCTTCAATCGAGCAGTCACCCTCTCTATTTCTCTGTCTCTTTCCCATCTTCTTCTGCCTGCCTCTGTCTCCATCTCTCCCTCTCTCTCTCCTTTTTTTATCACTCAACTTCTCTTTCTCTTTGTTTGTCTCTGTCTTTCTTTCTCTCCTACCTACTTTCTCACTCTATCTTTCTCTCCTTCCCTCCTGTCAACTGGGGCATGTGATATTTGTTAGCACTTCCCCCTGTTCTCTACCCCCTCCTCTCTCTCTCTCTCTTTCTCTCTCTCACACACACACACACACACTCACACACACACACACACACAAACACACTCTACCGGGTTTGGGCACTGAAACTTTCCGAAATCACAAAAAATTTCCCCTTCGTGACTTTGTTCCTGGTTACCGGTGCTGTATACACTTCGTAAAAAAATACCTGTTCATAATAATGGCCCAAATCATCAGCTCCTTGTAGGGTCTCTTGAAGTGGTCCCGCTCATCTTCAGCATCGGTGTCATCTGTGGTAGCTGGTTGTCGAAGTGATGACCGAGGTCGGAATGGCCGTTTTCCTTTTTTCTTTCCTCTGCTCTGCGTTGAATCTTGAGTAACGGTATCCAGGTCAAACTTGTCAAGCATATCCCTAATAAAGTCTCCGATTTCTTCCAGAGTAAAGGGGCTAGATTTTAGGAAATTCGTCAGGATCAAGTTGGCAAAGGAGTACTTGGGAGTCTGAAAAAAAGATTTTAAAAGATGGAAAATCACAGAATTGGGACTTCCCAATCACAAACAGAATCACGTTACAATAAAAAGCTTTGAGGTAAATTTTTAATTTTCATGTTTCACATTATTTAAAACCAGAAGGTGCTGCTTCAAGAAGAAGATATAAAAAAAGGAGTATAAACTAAAGGATACATGTCAAATGGATATTGAAACGTAGGCTCACAACTGGAAATTCTCTGAGACAGCATCCTAAAAGGAAGGTCAATATGGAATTTCTTTAATTAAGAAGGACAAAATACCCCAGCCCAAAACAGCTGGCTGCATTGTTATGGACAGAAATGCCATCATTGTATTTGAAATTATTATACTTCATTTTCAACTTGACCAACGGAATGTGTATTTCACAAGGGGATGTGAAAATAGCATGTTCTGTGTCGTTTCGGAGAAAGGGGGTAAATGGAAACGACACAGAATGAGTTGTTTTGGCAGACAGTAGTTAACAAAACAAAACATGACCTTCCAAAACAAACTTTTTCAAACATCATGTGATGTGGTTCAGTGCAGCACCCATGTGGCCAGCCAGGCATAACATGAAAAGCTCCAAAGCGCTTAAAAAATTCTGTCAGTACTTATGCTGCTTTTTTTTTTCTTCTTTAGATTCAGTCCCATTTGTTGACCTGCTGAACACTGGACAAATAAACCAACATTCAGAGAACAAAAAATCTCACAGAGTTGTAAAGGTGCTCCAGTCTGGCAATAGTCAGGTATTCCCTCATGATGATCCCATTCTGCAACAGCAGTTTGACAAATTCCACTTTGTTCTCCACCAGAGCAAGAGTCAGGACCTCTTCCAGGCTGCCTGTATGAGTTGAAAAAAAAATGTCCCACATTCTTCACAATAAGGAATATTAATATAATAACTGGTAAATCAACTAAAACTCTAAAACCTAGAGGTAAAAAACAGCTGAGCTACCTGTCAAAAATCAAAAATCAAAATTATTTTGCAGAAAAAAGAATTAGTAAAACAATTAAATCTTTTCAAACCATAAAGCCTTTTTTTGTCTGATAATAAATTTTCAAAGAGAGAGAGGGAAAGAAACACAGAGAAAGAGAGAGAGAGAGAGACAAAGAAAGACAGAGAAACAGAGACAGAGAGACAAAGAAAGACAGAGAAAGAGAGAGAGACAAAGAAAGACAGAGAAAGAGAGAGAGACAAAGAAAGACAGAGAAAGAGAGAGAGACAAAGAAAGACAGACAAAGAGAGAGAGACAAAGAAAGACAGAGAAAGAGAGAGAGAGAGACAAAGAAAGACAGAGAAAGAGAGAGAGAGAGAGACAAAGAAAGACAGAGAAAGAGAGAGAGAGACAAAGAAAGACAGAGAAAGAGAGAGAGAGAGACAAAGAAAGACAGGGAAAGAGAGAGAGAGACAAAGAAAGACAGAGAAAGAGAGAGAGAGACAAAGAAAGACAGAGAAAGAGAGAGAGAGAGACAAAGAAATACAGAGAAAGAGAGAGAGAGACAAAGAAAGACAGAGAAAAAGAGAGAGAGTCAAAGAAAGACAGAGAAAGAGAGAGAGAGACAAAGAAAGACAGAGGAAGAGAGAGAGAGAGAGACAAAGAAAGAGAGAGAAAGAGAGAGAGAGAGAGACAAAGAAAGACAGAGAAAGAGAGAGAGAGACAAAGAAAGACAGAGAAAGAGAGAGAGAGAGACAAAGAAAGACAGAGAAAGAGAGAGAGAGAGAGACAATGGATCATGAAACAGGGGAGAACAGAAACATTTCCGCGCACATGAAAAAATAAAGAACAAAAATTAATGGAAAGTATGAAAGTGGAAAATATCTCACTGAATGCAAAAGAAGGAGTGCTTCTGAATTAACTGCTCACTGAAAAGTATTAATATATCGCCAACAGTTGTATTGTTGTAACTGAAAGAAATTTGCAGTCTAATGCAAAAAAACAATAAATACAGCCTATGTGAAAAGTGAGCTTGTTGTGATTAAGCTAAGAAACAAAGGGTAAAAATATATGGGGTACAGGTGGGAAAAGGAGAAAAGAGCAGAGAAAATGATTCTATCAGTTGTTGAAAAAGTGAAAAAGATATAAAAACTCTTAACTGCTTGGCTTCAAGGCAAATTAGAGTTTTCATTCAACTCTCCACAGCTGACAAATTACATTTTGTTTTCCTCCTCCGCTAAAAATAGATTGTGGGTGGTTGGCGGGTGTTCTGGAGTGGTTTGCTCCTTCTTTTCTATCAAACATCTATCGTTCTTATCTCCTCTTCTTCTTTTTTATGTTTGTTACTCTCTTGTAACACCTCTAATCTTCTGGCGCTCATATGACTTTATGCAGTTGCGATCGCTGTAAAACCTCTACTAAAACTAACTAAACTAAAAAATATAGATCTGTAGCAAAGAAATGAATCAAGTACCGTCTTTCCAGATCACATCTTCCCTGAGTATCTCCTCCTGAGCAATATCTGCCCTGTTCCAGGTCATAGCCAGTTTCAGCTGATTTTCTCGGGACGAATTCGTTTCACCTGCAAAAATATAACATTTAGCAATCAGTGGTTTGTTCATAAATCAATAAATAGATCAAATACAAGAAAAAAAGCGCAAAGATAGATATGTCTAACAAAATTTACACAAGAATATATTTTATCTGTTTTTTAGTTTTTGTATAGCTTAGAGATTGAAGGAAAATGCACAGAGAATTATTGTTTGCATAAATGAGCGATTTGTTCTTTTATTTTTAGCAGACATTATCTCATGCTTGTTTTGAAAAAGAACGATCTGGAATATCTAGAAAGAAAAGTATTCTTAAGTGAACTGTTTAACACAAACAATAAAAAGCTGACTATATATACTATTACTATATATGGAGAAGGCATTGCATTATAAGCTGCAACCGGTTGTTTAAGTCGACTGTTCTCTAAATGTGTAACTTTTCTAATGAAAACAAGAATTGACTGTTCAAAATGCAATGAGATAGTAAGGTATTCAAATATGCATATGATAGTATTTATTTTCAGTATGTCATACAGAAAGGAGACTTAAACTTAAGAATAAATATGATAAATGGTGAGTCAATTTTTTTTTTAATGAGTTTTTTTTGGTATAAACATAAATGTTATACAACTTTATAAAGTAAGTCGGAAACTAACTGTACAAATTAAATAAGAGGATGCAACTATGGTCTCTTTTAAATTATAACTAGTCTTACCTTTCAGAAGCACAGAAAGAATGGCCAGATCTAATTCTTCATGCTTGTTCATGTTGAAAATAGTCATCTGTAAAGAGAAGTGTTTATTTTGTGAAAAAATAATACACATTTGACACAAACAGGAAAGGTTGTTAAACTTTGTAGTTGTTCAATAGTAGTTCAGACATGGCTTTGATACAGCCACTTATTAGATTCAGATGCTCATGAGCTTTATTTGCCACAAGTGATGAGATTCAAATCTGAACCGGATACAAAAGTTTTCTCATTTATCCTGGAACACACCCCCTGGAAGTTAGAGTCCAAAGAGAGAACCTAAAGTGATCAGCCAAAGAAACGACATAGGCGTAGCAAGATGGCATAATAAGTCACATGTAACACTTCGAAACTATAACGACGCTGTTGGTATCACATTGAAGATCTTTTCAAGCTCTCTGAGTGGATGAAAACAGAGCTGAACTAGCTGCTTTGGTTCCAAAGTTACAGTCACTTGGACTTGAGGCACTACAAAGGTGCAGTGTTGAGAAAAATTCAGATTTTGCCAGATATCTCTATCCAGACGAGTGTGACAAGCAATTCATTTTGTAAAGCTGCTATGCATTTGAAATGTGTCCAGTAGGGTATTATACTTCACCAACATAAACAATGTGTCTGCCTCACTGCCCCTTATTTTTAAAAAAAGACAAAAAACCAAATGAGAGAATCGCTCAGCTGGTTTTAAACAATGAAAAAACCCCCAAAAACCAGCAGTCAACACAAACCTAGCCCTCATAGCAGAAAGTGGAATCAAACCCTGTTTGATAATTTTAGTTTTACTCAGTTGGGAGAGGCCACATTTTTCTTTGTGGAAGGGGAAAAATTTACCATTTTATCATGATTTGACCAAATCCTCCAATTAAACATATGCGTGGCATCATGGTGAAATCAGGCACTTATCAATATAATGAAATCTTAGAAATTAGTAGTTTTCCGCCCACTGGGCAAATTCTACCAAACTTTTTTTTTTTTAGCTCTACACCTTTTATGCATATTCAAATACATATCTCTATTTCACTGAAAAAAAGTTAATCAAAGACACAAAAAGTGTACTTTTGCAGTTCCAAGGATACTACAGCTCTAAAAGACACCAAACTTTGGTAGACATTTTCTCACTAATTTTACTTCTGAAACCAGGTGACCTCCACCTCCTTCAATGGTAAATATACCTTAACTTCTACTCAAGATAGATGGGTACGTATTTGTTTCATCAAAAGCGAAGCAAAATTAATAAATTAGCTTTAAGATTGTACAAATTACTCTGAAAGCCCAAAAATTGATAAGCACCTGATTCTACCGTATTGAAATAAAAATGATTGATTTCATGTGTTATCTTTGAGTGCAGTTAAAAAGCAGACATTAGTTTTATATTGTGTGCAATGGTCAGCACTATGATCCAACCCACGCCGATCCAAACTGATCAATGGGCATCTATTCTAAGTACAGCAGGGGCTGTGATTTATGAGAAAAGAGGCAGCCTATTGGACAGGCTGAAGGAAAGAGAACTTTATTTGTGAGTATACTTCAGGAATTCATAGAAGGAAAAAATCCCGATTATTTGTAGTATGACTTAGTCTAAATAGATGGCACATCTAGTAGACAAAGTAGCCCATTTAAAATCACCAGATCTTCTCGCTGACAGCATCCAAGAACTTTCTTCATCCACTTGTCCAACTCTTCCCGCTCCTTTCCTGCTTTCCAGTACGTTTTGTAAGCTGAGTAGATCTTCCTAGCCAGCTTATCCTGGTGATAGTCTGACATGACCCGTTCTTTACTGCGGAGGAGAAAAAACCACAACTTTAAAGCGAAACTACAATACCGCGTGAATTGTTTAATGAGAATAAATAAACAAGACCTTAAATAAAAAATAATATTAGAAAAATGCTTGTTTTTTATTTCTCAGTGGCATCAAGCATTTGGTTCTCTTTATGAAAAAAGTGTCTTGTTTTTCTTTACTGGGGAACCTGTTTTAAAGTGACTTAAAATAAAATACGAATTGAAAATACATCTGTGTGTATTCATTATAACCAAACCCAAGATACTAATATTGGTCACGGTACATGCAAAAGTGAGACATTCTTATTTGGGGTTATTCCTAAATATCCTACAGAATTTTGTTAACAGATGTTATTTTCATGACCTATGAATGAAACATACTAATATGATGGCAGATAAAGTTTTAAGGTATTTCACTAAAAACCACTGGCTTATTTTTTTAGACTATAAGAGTACAAAACATTCGCAAGAAAAAAACAACCAAGACCTTTATGGTTCATTTGGAAACTAAGATAACAATAAAAAAAGATAATAAAAAAGTGTATAAAACAGTGGTAAACTGAGTTGGAACCATCAGAACTGCACTAAAGTCATTTTTTCATTGACTGATATCAGTAACAGAAATGGTCTTGACATCCTCAGTCTGTTTGGAAACAACAAAGCATACCATCGGCAATCTCTTCAAATGTATAAAACCCTGAAAACAAAATTTTCAAGAGAGAAAAAAAAACATTCCTTCTTTTAACAATAATTGGACTTCCATAAATATATTTGTTCTTGCTTTTTTTTCAAAATTTAAAATATGAATTTTGGCAAAATATTTCTTATATACCTGCAACCAATACCATGGTTTAGAAAATGCAATAAAAAAAAAAAATCAAACTTTGGGGGCTCGGTAGGCCAACAACTGAACAGGTAACTGATGATATGAAGAAGGCTCTGAGACTAAAGCCACTCACTTGTGCGTTGTGTTGGTGTGGTTGTAGGCATAGGCTAAGATATCTGCTGCTCGCCCAGTGCCCGCACAGATGACCACTGGAATGCCCTGAGCCAGAGATGCACTGACGTCTTGTATGGCATCTGTCCCACCTTCCACGAGAAGCAGAACAACTGGAACCCCCAGGCCCCCATCTGTGGGCAATTTTTATAAAGCTTGACAAAATATATGCAATATATTATTATAATCATTATTATTTTTGTTATTATTATTATCATTATTATTATTATCATCACTTTTATTATCATTACATTCAATATTATTATCATAATCATCTTTATTATCCTTTGTTACGCTTTGAAAAATAACTGAAAGCAGTATATATAGACTTGTTTACTATCAGCACACGTGTATAAGCCAAATATATGAAAGAGTACCCATGCTTGTGATACTTTGCGCAGTCCATCAGTTTTTTGTAACAGAATACATGGATCACTGTGGGGCCCACAAGAGAGAATGAGTGTAGTTAGCACATTCAAAATGTACATGTACAACTACTTACCACGTTTATGGGTCGCAATTTTTTTCTCAAACTTGGAGCGAAATTCTGCAACCCCTCCATATCGTATTCGGTACCCATCATCCACGAATATGAAATGAGTGTGATCAGGGTTGAGAGGCACTGGCTGCTTGTGAAGAATTTGAGTGCTGGTCCGATAATAGGCATTGAACTTTCCCTGGTATTAACAAACAAAAAAGGCGAGTGATCATTTTTCAACAATTCACTTACATTTTTATTTGAAATAAAAATGAGATGTATAATTATATTTAATAAGGCAGCATTTAATATGAGTTACTCAAAATCAGTTTTCTGAATGTAAGATCTTGCTACCAATATTTTGTCTCTCAATGCCTCTATGTCAATTTCAGGCAAAACGTTTTTTTACCAAGGAATTGGAAACTGTTAATTTTAGTAGAAGTTTATCTCTAATAAGTTCAAAATGTACTTCAAAAACTCAAGAAAAGGCCAATTAGATGATGCTACAGTAACCAGTTTTCAGTTATCAATGTTCCACTTCAAGACACACTGATTTTCTTCCAAAACATTTCAAGTAAAGACTTATACATCATCGCATATTTGAATTCTTTTACAGGCTTTTGAAACTGACAGCGAAGACAAAACTTTTAAGTCACAAGAAAAATTTGCATAATACAACCTAGCACATTGTTGGAATGGGATAAACTTTCTCTTTACTGCAGTCTACTCTCACATAGTTATAATTTTGTTATCAGTCCAGCAGCCAAGCTCAGTGCCATATTGTAAAAGATTGATGTCTAAAGACGGCATTCCTAGTAGCAATACTGGATGCTCTTTAAGTAATAATCCCATAAATGTGACGATGAAGAGACAGATATAACTGATGACAATCTAAAATAATCACCAAAACAGTTAACACATCAACTGAACAAAAGACGGAAAAAGTATCTATAAAAAAAACCCATATATGGCCTAAGATTCCGTGGGAATGACATAAGCAGAAGAGCTTCATAATGAGAATGAACTTTTGAAGGGACAAGAAGTAGGTCCAGAGATGGATTATAACTAATTGAAAGAGTTACAATAATACGTACAGCTCCATTTCTACTCTCCAAGAATTGCCTTCCTCTCACATAACCCCATGGAGCAATCCCGATGCAGCGGAGGACGTGTGCCATTCTATCGTTGTCCCACTGAAAAGTTTGACCTTCATGGACTGCCTGACCCACAGCTTTCATCACACCCATGTTGAAGCCTGATGTGATAAGCCAAGCATTTGTGGTTTTGGCAGCCTGAAATAAAGAGAAAGTAAAAAAATACAAAGTGTAGTATCCTCAAAGAAAAACACACAGAAAGTACCACTCTGGTAAGTGCTATGCAAATCATTTTATTCACTCCTGTACAAAAAATAATGCCTAAACATATTCAAAAGCTCTATGACAATGAAGTTCACTTTTCTTGGAAATAAGCATGTTAATGTTATAGATTGTAAAATCAAAGGGCATACTGTAGGCCTACAAAGTTCTTTATTTTTAAAAAAAATCTGATTTCTGACATAATTATATAAAATCACCAAGAATTAACAAAAATACTGAGGAAAATTAGTAGATTTAATTCCAACATACTTGTAAAACATTCAGAGTTAAAAGATAAATATGACTTGATACTAAAATACCTTAATAAGGCCAGAGGAAAAAGTCTCCCTCATGCGACCATCCAGCTTGAAATTTTTTGCACCACCTACAACGGAGATGACCAGATTTGGAGGTTCAGGTTCCATGATGCGCCAGAATTTTTGCATCATTTCCAGGCAGTCCTCGACACTGTCCTCTTTACACAGCCTGACATACTGAAAGGGCAATACAAATAATGAAAGATTATTCAGTGTATTTAATTATTTACTCTTAACTCTTTGACTACCATGGGCCGATCTATCGGCTCCATAACCTCCTAGTTCGTGGCCAAAAGCCGAATTATCGGCTCGCGCTTTTCTTTCCCTTTCCCTTCCACAATTTGACTCAACCTTTTCGTTTCATGTTTTTAACTGCTGTGCTTACCATACATCAGTCAACCAGTGAAGGAATTTAGCGCCTTTTGTGTTTTATTCTGCTGTTTTTTTGGCATTTTTTCTTGTTTTTTTGACCCGCCCTATGTTGCTCGAATTAATTTACACGCATAGCAACGGAAAAATGGCTGATAACCCATCAGGTTCCCCCCTGTCACAACGTTTTTCTGCTTCAAAAGCCCTGGAAAAGTTTGATGGGGAACTGTCAGTACTTTCCGATAGTGATGTAGGAGGTGATGAAGTTAGACCTGAGTTGGACAGCAGCGACAGCGATGAGATTGAAGATTCGCAAAGAGGGGCATGTGTGCAGCGGTTTTTTCTCTTTTTTTCATTGTGAGTGATTTCACCAAAAGTGCGACAACTTTGTATATACTTGACCATTGTGCATGAAACTTGGCCCAGTTAGAGACAATTGGATATAATTCAGTATGAATAAGTCATGAAGTGATTGGATTTAGCAGTTATACACTGTGATAAAGGTAAGTTGGAAATATTTTGTTTATTCTTTTATTTTTTTCACCTTGTGTTCACTTACCTCCAATGTTTGTTTGGATTTATGATTTTTTTCAATTTTTTTATTAGATTAAAAATAATCTACATTCAATTACCTTCATTTTGGTATATAACATGTCTGACTTCCCGATGGAATTATGCCCATCAGACACAAAAGAAGAACAAGGGTACTTCTGAAATTCTAAGACTAAGAAATGCCTTGGTCACAGCGCGGAAAACGCCTTGGTAGTCAAGGAGTTAAGATATATCCTTTACGACAAATTAAATATTTATTTAAAATCAAGATATTAAAACAACCTGATCATACCATGCTGGTAGAGGGGGTCAGCTCTTGAACTTTACAGATGAAGCAATGATAGATTAATATTCAGATTACTTTTTCAGCCACTTTTTGAAAACGGTATAACAATACACTTTTTGTTAAAATTATTAGATCTAGAGATTCTTGCACATGGGTCATAGGTGTACCTAATGATTCAGTTTGTTCAAGCAAAAACAAATACAATAAGGTCTGATCCAAAAGGTTGAAACTTGTGCCTTAAAGATGTTTTACCCAGTTAAAAACCTTAGTTGAACTAATTTTTAAAAAATAGTTCATCACCTTTGCTGGTTTTTTGCCTCCAATTTGTTCAATATTGAAGGTAATTTTCCCAAATGCATTTGTCCTGCTTTTATTGAGGCATTCTTCTGTCCACTGGGCTGATGTTTTCGGCAGCTCCTCAGTCAGCATTCTGTTAGGGTTCTTCAACACAGGGGCAAATTCTTCATGTATATGGGGACAAAAAATGTATGTTATTCACAAGTGATTAAGAATAATAACTTTACAAAAGATCAGGCATTTCTAGGTCTGCTTGTGTATGCTAAGTTGACAGTCAACATATTTGAATAACCTGAAGTCAGTCTCTATTAATAGCATATCATAATAGTATACAGCTTTTGCTTGAAAGGCTGTATCAAATTTGTACTTGAATCTATTACTTCAAGCACAGGAAGTACTTTTTGAGATGAATACATATTTTTCATTATCTTCAATGTTACATCTTGTTGCTGGCTACCTGTAATTTTAAGACATCTTTTTATGCGAACAGAATAATCGAACACTGAATCTTTTGTCTAGTCTGATTCCAATAGGTTTATTGATTACTAAAATCTTTATAGTTACCAAAGCTACCATCAAGATACAGGTGTATGCTGATAGTAAGTTCTTTAAATAGATTTCAAGTAAACACATACCTGGTGGTACAAGAAAGCAGTTTTCAAATTGTTGATTTACAGATCTAGACCTCATCCCAGCGTGCATGGATAAGATTTCTCCACAGTGACATCTTGATCAGAAGGGGAAGAAATTCATCACATAATAATAAGTCAACATACAGAATACAGTCAACTAGACTTGCACAAGTAAAATACATGCTAAGAGGCTTATCTTAACTCTTTGAGTCCTATCCATCGTTACAATGGTGGCTCGTAAAGCTGTATGTATGCCTAGCCACCAGTGCACCGGTGAGCGAGACCCTAACCTCGAGCCAAGCCACTGGGGACAAAACTTACGCAGGAAACTGTTTAGCCTACTACACAGGGCTTAATTATTGATTATTTTGAAAGTCTTTCTGACTTTGGTTCTGGTAATGACAAGGACTACCCAAAGCATGATATGGAATGTGATTCTGATGATGATATAAATGTTAGTAATATATCCCACAGGAGCTCAGGCAGAGGGGCACGGTAGCTTCAGGAGGTCAGGGCTCAAAGGGTTGAGATTTATTTTTTTTTAGGAAAAAAAGAAAAAAGAGAAAATATGACTTTTATTGATCTCCATGAGGAGGTTACAAAGAAATCGTATAATATATATTTATAGAATAATTTTATTATGTAATTCAAAGTTATGAACTTCACATATTACATCTAAACATCACAGCACTGTAAACAATTTCATCAACTCACAATTGTTGGTCATTTAATGAATTGAATCTATAAAAAAGCAAGGTAAGATACATAGTGTTACTGTTTCATGCCAACTCCAAAGTTGAACCATAATATAATACTATGTTCAGAAAAAGAAAAACAGGTTCAGTCACTACTTAGCTGAGCTTTGCCTTTGAGCAATTATATCTTTTGATGTTTAGCAAGAAAATATACACACTTAACAAGTATGACAATTCAAAAGCAGAAATATGTATTAAGGATTTTATCTTTTGTGGAAAACCACCAAAACTTACTTGAGATACTTAGCCATACATTTCTTTCCCTTTCCGACTTGATCAGGGACAGGAATGAACAGACCACATTCTTTTTGATGGAACCGCTGTGTCACAAAGGTTACCAGCTCTTCTCGTATCTGAAGGACAGAGGAAAGAACTTTGTTAAATAAATCATGCTAGAAAAAAACGTGTCTTTCATTACATCCTTTATGAGCAAAATTATTTATTCTTTAAAACTGAGAAAAGGGAACTAATAACTAAAAAAAAATTGGCCCGATCGATGTAATATTATGCGAAGGCATGGGAGAGTCTTTGGCCAAAAAGCAAGGAAATGGGGTTTTAAAAAAAGCTATAAAACGCTAGAGATCTCACCCTTTGAAATTCATTATCTTGCTCAGGCTCTTGTGTCTGGTGCCTCGACAAGCCTATTTTCCTGCGTCGGTCGGTCCAGTAAGCCTCCTCCAAGGTTAACGTTTTACTGGTAGGAGACTTTTCTGCGCTGAGAGAGCTGTACATTTCAGATTCAGAATGCCTTGACATGGAAGGCCCCCCTGCACCGAACATCCGACCTCCCATGTCATCAGAGGGATGGACCCTCACTCCACCAGTCGCCATGACGTCCAGATTATATGTCCTAGGCTCCAGCTTGGTGGATGACCTTGGTTCTTTCAAAGAACCAAATGAAATGCATGGCACTGAAAAGGACAAATAAGTGATAATTGTACTTGTTAGAAAAGAAGCTGTTGCAATGGTAAAAATCAAACTTTTTGTACCTTTTTCTAGGCACACACACAATTAAACAGTGCATTTAGGGATGTTCACATCCACATCTCACACGATCAAACAGTGTCAGAAGATAGACGACCACACATTGACACAGGCATCAAAACTTACATGTCATTATACAGGAGACACTTTAGTGAAAAGGTACTTCCCAAACACCAAATTCTAGAAAACCACTGCATCCCGTGGATACAAACATATATGTAAGGCAGCGTGGTGGAATCAGGCTCTCGTCAAAATAATCAAAGTGAAGAAACTTTCATTTTTCCCCAGGTTTGTGAATTTTTATAAAATTTTTGTTTTTTGGCTCAACAACTTTCATGCCCATTAAAGAACTCATTTCTGTGTAGATTTTTCTGAAAAACGTTGATTAAAGGCACAAAAAATGTAAATTTTCAGTTACCACGGACTCTTAAGCTAAGGAAATATCTAATCTTTGACGCCCAATTTCTCACTAATTTTCCCTGAAAACAGGTGACCCCCACCTCCTTCATTTGCAAATATCTCGACTTGTATTCAAGATAAATGGATATTTTTTTCATCCAAATAAAGACAAGTGAACAAGCTTTAAGATGATACTAATAACTCTAATAAATGCCCAAAAATTGACGAGAGCCTCATTCCACCACGATGCCTCGCATATATGGGTTTGGTTAGGCTTTACATGGGGAACAGGGTGGTAAACATATACATGCTTCTGTGGCAAAGTTAGAGAGAAGAGGAGCTGGGATACTCAATATTGAACAGCAGCTGAAAGTTGTAATGTAATCTCAGCACCTCATGAAAATCCAGAACTATTATAATTATCCAACGTGCCTCCGACAAAGAAAAAAAGGTGATACTGCAATCAACTCTTCACTACTCCAAAACCGTGGACTTCCCAGAAAAACAACAAAGTGGGTTTTGACATTTGACCATTTCTGTTGTACTTTATGTGAATTTGAAAAACTGTTTAAGTTTTGTTTGATTGGAATTTTGATTTGAAAACCTACACCCCCAAAGGGCAATGGTAAAATATGAGCCATTCGTGGAACTCTGCATATATTTATTGTTATTTCATACAATTTTGCATCTTTCTCAGTAAGTGCAGAAGTTCCTCCTTGTTCCAAATGGACAAAATAAAATGATGGCAAAGTCACAGATCAGTGTATTTTGCCAGTTTAATTGTCCTAAAAATGAAATGAACAACACTGTCAGTGGGACATGGGGTATTCCCCTGCTGGCCACTAGTTCATGACCCCGTGACTGGGGTCAGATTACAATTTAGATGCAGAATGCTGGCTGGCTGCCTGCGTACTTGAGTACCGCTTCCTAACAGCCGTGTATAGCTCACCTCACCTAAATTAAACAAAAGAATTAAAAAGAGAAATAATATGAATCAAAGCGGACGCAATTTCCGAATTTAAAAGACAGTTTAATAGCGTGCTTTCCTTTTCAGCAATGGCCGAGATCAGTTGGGGGCCTTTAAATAGTGTCAAAACAGTGAAAAAACCTAAACTGACAGCATTTCTCGTATGTCTAGGCCTACCAACAAAGAACAGTATTGGCAGTCCTTGATCATTGCCAGGGGGTGTACATTCCTAATGTCAGGACTGATATTCAGCTAAGCTCATTTGCCAGAATAGTAGTGTTGTCATACCTCAATCTAGACCGAGCCCTCTTGTGACATATTGCGGACCCTGGGTCTTCAATAGCGTTATGCACTTTCCTCAATCCCTTTTTCCAATGGAAGTAGCTATCCTCACCCGGGGTGAGAATAAAAATACGATCGACCTCTCACACCGAGTGAGACTTGCCACCGTGGGCTATTCTCAATCGGTGTGAAACATGACCTGTTTTTCCTAATTTCGGAATACTTTCCATCGGTGTGGATGATCAAATGGATAAAAGCAAACAAAAAATTACATTATAGCACAAAAGTAAGCTACAAAGATGCTATGGCTATTTCACTTTTCGAATCGAGCCGAACTACGCGGGTCGCCATTTTGTTTTGCCCGGAAGTTCTCGCAAGATCTACTCCTCCCCTCTTCTCTCTCTCTGTCTCTTTCTGAATACTGTCTATCGGTGTGGACGATCAAATTGACCAAAACAAAGTTAAAAAATGATGTTAAAACACAAAAGCAAATTAATTTGGTCGTCTACAAAGATGCTACGGCTATTTATTTTTTCGAATCGAGCCGAACTACGTGGGTCACCATTTTGTTCTGCCCGGAAGTTCTCGCGCAACTCCTCTCTCTTTCTCTCTCTATCTCTCCACTGCCCACAGAAAAAATTGTACGCTTTTAGGCTTAGTAATGGAACATTTATTCACGCCACAGAATTCTACAATTTTTCTGTTATCACAGTGTAGAATTCTGTGGTTCAGGGTGAACGCAAAATTGGTTGGGCTAGATCTAGGCTATAATGGTGAACACACACCGGGTGTGAATAGCCAAAAGACTCGCCTGCGCTATTCTCACCCAAAGTGAGAATAGAGGTGGCCTTTTCCAATACATAAATCTTACCCATCATTTTTATTTTAGGAAAATAAGAGAAATATTTAGCTTTAATCTTTATTTCTCTTTTTTGCAAATAATTTGAGAGGCAGAGGAAGTGAAGATATTATATCCTGGGCCTTGTCTCAAAACAAGGGGTGGGGGGGGGGATGAACAACCGTGGTCTACAAATTACAGGGCAACATTTATCTGATATTTCAGGTCAAAGACTAATGGTAACCCGAAAACTGGATCAGGTCAATAAGTGGTAGGGGTGGGAGTAAGGGTAAACACGCCCTACCCCTGCCCAAAGCAAGTCGACTGTCTGGAAGTCTGGATCGACTGTGGCAGGGGACTGTACTATTCATTTCATTTCATTGTGTTAATTTTATCCTATCCTTCTGTTTTTACAGGCGAATGTCACCGTACAGAAACATTCCACTCTATCTTCAACACTTTTATGGTTACATCCCTGGAAAAAAGCTTCCCGTGCAAAAACTATTCAAAGTTACCCTTTCAGCAAAATTGTAGGGCCAAAGTCTGACCAGCAGAGGGCCAAGCACTTCCAAGCAGTTTGCAGGAAGTTTATGCTGCTGCCATGGAGCAATGTTTTGTGGTCTGGACTGGGAGACTAGAATTTCTGGCATATTCCTTCAGTAATCAATATAGTTTTAAATAAGCCCATGGTTCCAACAAAATAGATTAATATAATTGAAACTACTCAGAAAGATTTTTTACATTAAAAAATTAATAGATTTAATTTTTGTCTGAGTTATCCAAATCTTATATTTTTATAGTTTACTCTATACCAGTCCACTTTTTTCTCGACCGACCTTTGTTATTGTCTCCCTCCAAAAGTAAAGAGCGACAAATGTGCCGAACGAAAATTAATTTCCATTCAAAGGAAAGTGTTCCGTAAAGTAAACAGTAAACAACACTGGAATAGCTTGATTCACATTAAATTATTTTACGTTATAATTATAATTATCTGGCCAAGCAAGTCTTTTTTTCTTTTGTTACTTCTTTGTAAAGAACTGATCAGTCTCATCGATCGTCCATCATTTTGAGTAAATTTACCCGGCATTGTGCTGTGGGTATGGACATGGTTGAGTAGATCTAGATATAGATAGAATCTAGATATATCTAGTCTAGTACTAGTCTAGTCTAGATCTACTAATCTATCTAGTCTAGATCTACTAGAATCTAGACCAGTTGACAACCCAGCAGCTTCTGAGATTCGGATTCTGTCTTGATCAAACAGCGGTTGATTTTTGTAGTTGTAGCTTCATCAACTTCATTTTCATGTACGTCTATTGAATGTTCATATGACTATGCAAAAATAATACTTGTAAACTAAACAAACAAATACAATGATTTGATTTGTGTCGACTTGTAAGCCTGGCTGGACTATTCTGTTGTGAAGTCAAAGACGGTGTAGGACTGTACATAGACATAGGCGTGTAAAAGTGTAGTGTAGATGTAGGGTTGAGTGTGTAGCAAACGACTATTAACAACTTTACTTTTTGAAAGTAATTTATAGCCTAATAATTAGATTCTAATTAGATCTAGATCCTAGATCTAGTAAGGCCACCTCTATTCTCACCCGGAGTGAGAATAGTGCAGGCGAGTCTTGTGGCTATTCTCACCTGGTGCGCGTTCACCAAATTTTGCGTTCACCCTAAACCACAGAATTCTACACTGTGATAACAGAAAAATTGTAGAATTCTGTGCCGTGAACAAACGTTCCATTACAACTGTAGCCTACTAAAAGCGTACAATTTTGTCTGTGGGCAGTGGAGAAAGAGAGAGAGAAAGATAGAGGAGTAGCGCGAGAATTTCCGGGCAAAACAAAATGGCGACCCGCGTAGTTCGGCTCGATTCGAAAAGTTAAATATAGCCGTAGCATCTTTGTAGACAACCAAATTAATTTACTTTTGTGTTTTAACATCATTTTTAAACTTTGTTTTGGTCAATTTGATCGTCCACACCGATAGACAGTATTCAGAAAGAGAGAGAGAAGAGGGGAGGAGTTGATCTTGCGAGAACTTCCGGGCGGGTGAGAATAGCCACTTTCAATACTTTCATCTAGTAAAAGATTTTATATACGGAAGTGGCTATTCTCATCCGGGGTGAGAATAGAAATACGATCGACCTCTCACCCCGGGTGAGACTTGCAACCGTAGGCTATTCTCACCCGGTTTGGAACAAGACCTGTTTTTCCTAATTTCGGAATACTTTCTATCGATGTGGATGATCAAATTGATAAAAGCTAAGAAAAAAATTACGTTATAATAGCACAAAAGTAAGCTAATTTGATCGTCTTCAAAGATGCTATGAGTATGACTATTTCACTGTTCGAATCGAGCCGAACTACGTGGGTCGCCATTTTGTTTTGCCCGGAAGTTCTCGCAAGATCTACTCCTCCCCTCTCTCTCTCTCTCTCTGTCTCTTTCTGAATACTGTCTATCGGTGTGGACGATCAAATTGACCAAAACAAAGTTAAATGATGTTAAAACACAAAAATAAATTAATTTGGTTGTCTACAAAGATGCTACGGCTATATTTAACTTTTCGAATCGAGCCGAACTACGCGGGTCGCCATTTTGTTTTGACCGGAAGTTCTCGCACTACTCCTCTCTCTCTCTCTCTCTTTCTCTCTTTCTCTCTCCACTGCCCACAGACAAAATTGTACGCTTTTAGTAGGCTACAGTTGTAATGGAACGTTTGTTCACGGCACAGAATTCTACAATTTTTCTGTTATCACAGTGTAGAATTCTGTGGTTTAGGGTGAACGCAAAATTGGTTGGCCTAGATCTAGGCTATTATAACGGTGAACGCGCACCGGGTGAGGATAGCCAAAAGACTCGCCTGCACTATTCTCACCCCGGGTGAGAATAGAGGTGGCCTTTATACTTTGCCATTACATAGGAAAGATTGATGTTCAGCAGCAAACAACACTTTTCTTCGATTACCATCTAATAGGCTGCTAATTACGAGTTCATAAAAAACTGAATCAAGAGTCTGAACAAAAGGAAAGGCTTGAAAAGGCAAGAGTGCAAAAAAGTCTATAATTTCAAGGCCAAGGCCAAAGGTCTATTTAACTCATTCGCTACGTATTATTTTCGGCTTGTGGACGAATTTTTTTCGGGTGGGCGAAAGAGATGATGACTAGTGGGCAGTTAAAAGGTCTTTGGGGCCACAAATTCAAATAAATATCAACGTATTATACAGTAGTCTCCGCCTAAGATCCCACCGCTTACGATCCTGGTTCGCTTAAGATCCCGTTGTTTTAGGAAAACAGAATTTTTACTATACAAAAGTCACCCCTAAGATCCCGGTCTGATGGTCTACATTCGGCTAAGATCCCGCTTTTCAGATCATAATGTGCTAAACAAAACCCAGGCGGGCACAGCTGATCAACCAAGAGTGAAAAGTTGAGATCAATAAAATGTCCGTCGCGTCAAAGATCAGCCACTATCGTGAATGTGATCACATACACACGTTGTAAAACTCGATGAAGCGATACAATGTTTGGCCCAGACGGGATCACATCGGGATGTGAACTGACGGACACGTTTGTTTTCCCTACGCATCGCACTCACACCTGAGCTCGCCACCTAAGCTTGTATCACTCGCTGGGTGGGTAGGGCCTACACGTTCGCTCCAGGCGGGATCACATCGAACCGTGAACTCTTCCTTGACCATTGCAGCAGTTGTCTCTACTACCGAATTTGCGACACAGACTGAATTTTAATTGATGCGTTCACAATGTAATGGTGTGTAACGACAAAGGTGGTTTGGAGGGGGGGGGGGAGACTCGGTCAGAGATGGAAAGCTATACATGACAGGTAAAGAGGAGGGGCAACTGGATAAGCGTAGATCTTGAGACTCATGATAGGAATAAGTGAAAATGGCACGCCTCATGCCACTATGCACCGTGATAGGTCATCAAGGTTAACCACTCTTTGCTCGCCATATGTCATAAACCCACCAAGCGGGCATGTCAGTTCAATGTAGAGTGGAGGGAGACCATTTTACTGATTGTGAGCCTTAACTAACATTGGTCACCATAGATTCTTCCCTGGGTTCGTCGGTTAAGATCCCGGTTCGCCTTTAAGATCCCGCATGTCCTTGCTCCCAAGCTCCGGGATCTTAGGCAGAGACTACTGTGTACCAATATTTTCAGTATGGTTTGAAGAATACATCTGTATTGTTTATTTATAGTTATTAAATTTCAACTTTGGTTCCTGTAAAAGGCAATTATGCAACACTATTTGTTTTTGTTTTGTAAAGTGTTTTACAGCGCTCGCAACTGCATATAAGGTCATATGAGCGCGCGGGACACACCTAATATTTTCAGTTGGTAGGAAATTTTGAATTTTGCCCGGGTGGCGGCCGAAGCCTACTCTTATCGATTTTAGACCACCAAGGGATCTTTAACGTGCGCAACTTGCACACGGGCCCTCCGAGATATTTCGCCCTTGTCCGAGAAGGCTAGGTGTAGATCTTTCCTACCAGAAGATCAGGGGTGTGGCTGAAAGACAGCAGTAAGAAGAAGCGAAGGAGTAGCAGTAGAAAGGTTGCAGAAAGAATCCGGAGCCCAGAGGAAGGGGCAAAGGAGGTGAGGGGGTGGGGGCAGAAAGAGGAGACGAAAGCAGACGACAGAACATTGCTAGAGAGCAGGAAATGAGGTGAAAGGAGACAAATTTAGAGAAGAAAATTTTTCGGTCGCCCCTCGGATTTGAACCCGGGACCTTTTGAATGAGAGGCCAACACCTTAAAAACTTCTAGGCCACGAGAGCCCCCTAGCACTATTTTGATTGGATGCGGATAAAATTTGAAAATAAAAAATGTATAATCTTTGGTGAAACTCAAAAAATATATTTGCACCTAGATCTAGTCAAATGATACATCAAAATAACCATAAATGAATATAGAACTGGAAAATATTGAAAGGTTTGCAGTTATTTACATACATTCCATAATATTTGTACATTTGGATCATAACATCCGATATTGAAAAAAAAAAAAAAATTTATAATAGTCTTGAAAAACGATCACAAACAGAAAAAAACCGACTCGTATCTTATGGAATTATTCAGAATTGCATTTGGAATAAACCTAAACATGTCTTGAATGGCACTTTTTGTGTAATTTCATAAAAAGTAGTGATTTGGGGGAGAAAAATATATTTTGACAATTTAGATCTAGATCTAGATCTAGCACTCACAAATATTGATTCCTCAATAACAGTGCATTGGCAATATATGAGTCCAATCGTATCAATATTATAAAAAAGAGTCCTCTACATTTCTTTAGTGGGCAAAATAATGATAGATTTTGTTCTTGTGTAAAGTTACTAAGACTGGTGTCCGGGCTATAATTTTGGCATCGCGATAAAACAAAGTTGAATAAACTACGAAATCCCGTTTCAAAACTGAATGTAAATTTCCAATTTTCAGTGGAAATGCTTGACCCGGAAGTCAACATTATATTATGACCTTTATTTTAACATTGATATGTGGATTGGAATAGAATCTAAGCTAAAATTGAAGATCGGTTCTCGAGCCGCCGGGGGCGGCTTAGCGTACTGACGGCACATTAGCCGCGCCGCCCCCCACGGCTCGCGTAGCGAGTGAGTTAATCTAGATCTGGGCTATTATTATCATATTTAAATAGGTAGCGTCAATTGCCACCGAGTGACGCGATGACAATTGACGAAAATTGACTTTTTGTCAATTGCCACTGAATGAAGCGGTGTCAAGTCTGAAAACAACACTCTCTTTAGCTTTATACATAATGTGTGTCTAATGGGTCAATTTGTTCTCAACTAATTTCATTGGACGTGCATCTATTCTAGAGCTATGGTACCATCTTGGCGTGTTTTCAATGAGATGTAGGCCTAGATCTAGGCTAGCCTTAGCCTACACTTTGGTGTAGAACCCACACAGGCAATTCTAGAAGTAGAAGGTCACAAACGCGCACAAACTCAGGCAGAAACTCACGTTATATTGGGGAACAAAATCGGGGGACGGGGGTCAGGAAAAGACACACACACACACACACACACACACACACACACACACACACACACACACAGGGACAGAGAGGCGAACGCACAACACCGAGCACTCGAGCACAATAAGTTGAAAGCTAGATCTACCCACCAACGCAAAAGAGCTCCAATTTACTCGGTGGCAATTGACACTAGCATTTAAATAATACTTTATATTTTTTACATTGTCATTGATTAATATCTATCATTTTAACTTTAAACTTAGGCCACCTCTATTCTCATCCAGGGTGAGAATAGCGCAGTTGTAGGCCTCTCCTCACCCAGGGTGAAAGGGTGAGCCTTTTTGGCTCAGCTATTCTCACCCGGTGTGTGTTCACCACTAAGTGCATCGACTCGGGCCGATCACTCTGGGTGAGCGGTCGAGTCTTTTGGCTATTCTCACCCTGTGTGCGTTCACCCTGATACCAGTGTGTAAGCAAACGTTCCAGCGCTCTTGTATTGAAAGCGTGCAAAATTTTGTCTGCGTGCAGTGAGAGAGAGATGGGGGGGGGGGGGGGGAGGAGAGAGAGAGAAGGGAGAGAGAGAGGGAGAGCGAGAGAGAGAGAGAGAGAGAGAGAGAGAGAGAGAGAGAGAGAGAGAGAGAGAGAGTGAGGGAGGAGAATGAGATAGCCTAGCCTAGGGAAAGAGAGAGAGAGAGAAAAAGAGTAGCGAGAACTTCGGGGCAAAACAAAATGGCGATTGGCGTAGTTTGTCAAAAAATGAAATTGCCATAGTATCTTTGTAGACGACCAAATTAGTTTACTTTTGTGATAACGTCTCTTTTTTCTTTGTTTTTGTCAATTTGATCATCCGCACCGATAGACAGTATTCAGAAATTAGGAAAAACAGTTGTTTCACACCGGGTGAGAATAGCCAACGCTGGTGTCTTTCCCAGGGTGAGAAGTCGATCATATTTTTATTCTCCTCCGAGGTGAGAAAAGCGGTACTAAAATCTCCCCCCGATTGGTTCAAAGCACGAAAATGAAGACGCCACCACAATTAGACTTGGTGTAAATAGTTCTGAAAAAACTATCATGATAAATCTTTTTAGAAAACTTGGACTGTGTCATATTTATCATTAATGTGGGGTGGGTAGGGGGGGGGCAGTGGTCAGGTAATTGTCTTGGACAAATGGCGTTTAAGTCAGCTTCGATGTAGGCTATGTGTGTGAATAAAGAGTTTTGGGCTCAATGTAAAAGAGTCTCTTTCAGAAATTTTTGTACTTGTAGTTAACTGATGGGATCTGATTAAGATAGTACACCTTGGTAAAATATAATGAAAGAGAGAAAGAAGATTATTATCGGAGCTGTGCGCTACGTTCTTTGTATTATTGTACAGCGCATTGAGCACTTCTTTGTGGAAATGCGCTATATAAAAATGCGATTTATTATTGTTATTATTATTACTATTATTATTAAATTGAGAAAGCTCCAGCAGTAAAATTAAAATGTTTTAATGACTACAAAAACAATTATTTTTGAGGTTACTATATATGTAATCATAAATTTGATAGGACCTGTTTAAACCAAAGATGAATCGGAACCACTGCTAGAATCCCCCTACCCTTTACCATGAATGTAGGGTTGCTGATGAATTAAGACAAAAACAATAATATAGATCTAATATAGTATAGAAAGAGTCTGGAATACAGAGGAATGGAAAAATTTAATTTTGTTCGTTGCCTCCTTCTGCTTTCTGTGAAAGGTTTTGCAACCATATCAAGGTTGTAAATTTGAATAATAATACTAATACCACACCTTAAGATTTTCAAGTTGTTAAGATTCGTAGATTATGATGAGTTCATTGTTATTTTTTTCCCCCTCAGTGTGAAAGTCACAAGATAGGGTGAGGGATGGCTGATTCAGAGGAAAAGACTCCAGGATATGATGACGAAGGTGTACCGCCTGTGGCAGACCACCGCAGTGATGCTGCTGTGTTTGCCCATTCTCTGATGGAGCAAGTCAGCTCTGAGGACATCCATGCCATGGTTTATGTACAGAGAGACATGTAAGATTTTTTAGACTTTTTTGGTGCTTAGTTGCTTAACACCCTTTGTATGAAAGGTCTTTCTTTGTCTCATTTGCTTGTTGATTGTGGTTACTAAAATATATTTCCTACCTGAAAAGTTAGTTATATATATATAATAACCAAGGCCTGAGTTTAAAAAATCACATGTCATGTATGAATGGAATTTTAATTTAGTAAGCGTTTTAAGTGTTTCCAAAGATGGCAGATCTACAGCACTTGTATTGTTTCCCTTGCCAACAAATTTTCGACCTACTCACTGTATTTACATTCAAAGAAAGTTAACCAGAGCATGATATGCCTCGCTGCTTTTCCGTGATATTCTCAGTGTACTGTTTATTTTTCTGAGGAGAAAAGAATGTGTTTTAGTAAATGAGCTGGTCTTGACACATTTAGTTTGATAACTAGCATTACAGGAAATCAGGATTGTGTTCATTTCAATCCATGTTAAATCATTGTTTGTATTTTATGTATTTTTTAGACATGTTCAAAGGGAATCATTCACTAAGTTCAGTGTAAATCATTCAATCCTGTATTTCGTTCTGCAAGTAAGCTTAACCTTTTGGTTTTTCCAGCAGCATTTTTTCTTTGCATTGTATTTTCTTGTGATGAGTGTGAACTAAATTGTGATTCGCTTATCACCTTGTGATTAAATTGGTAGTCTATAAAAGGGAATGAAATGTTGCACTACACTTTAAGATAGATATTCAATAGATTTTTCCACTATTCTGGCCGTGATTATAAAGTGAGATAGTGAGTGTATCAATAACTTATGATGAGAAACTTGGGAATAGGATAGTTTAGATGGCAGGGTTTTTTTTTCACTTTTAATAATGTGACTTTGTCACTGTCACCTATCTATTCACCTACAATTTGTTTTGAAAAGAACCAATTTTAGATCTCTCTGCAAATAATCTCTGAAGTTCACGTGTAATGTTCTGTGGTGATCTGATTTTTAGGGTCCTGAGAATTCCCAAACAGAGAAGATAAGTAGCTTTAGTCTCTCTATTTCTTGCATGGATTTGTCAATGTTTTTATTAACTGTACTTGGACTTCATTGTACAGGAAATGTGGTATGTATTGGCTTAATTAATAAAGTGATGGAATAAAACCTGTCCCATATTTTACACCTTTCTCATGTACTGAAAGATATTTTGTGTTGACATACATATCTTCTATGGATTTTTTTTTCTTGTTTGATTTCAGGTTGTCACGATTTGAGAAAACTAATGAAATGTTGATCAACTTTAACTTGCTGTCTACGGCGCGGTATGATGTGACTGTGAAAGAGTTCCAAAAGCATACACAACTTTTGTTTGAGATGAAGAAAGATTTAGATGGTGTGTTCAAACGAATAAGGTACATTCATTTTTGTCCCATGTGTATCTATACAAGAAGCAGTCTTTCTAGATAACCTAAAGTTTCATTTATCTTTGTTGTGACCACAAAAATTGATCTTAAGAAAGTAAATATGAAGATGGATCAGAAAGTAATGGAAGTGTCCATCTAGGGGCTGAGATATTGACTACAGTGGAAACCTGATATAACAAGATGGTGGGACCACAGAAAAAGTCCTGTTTTATCAGATCCCTGTTAAATCAGAAATGCAAAGGAAGTAAGCATTTGTGGACTAATCCAGCTGTATCAATTCATTGGTAGTTTACCTTGCCACAAGTACCCATGAACAGCACACCGCAGTCCTCTCTCATGGCCATATGACAGGCCTGCTCATGACACACTACGCATGTTTGTAGCTAGGCTTAGGGCTAGATCGAAGTCTGTAGCGCACCGCAGCCCTCTCTCGCTTCACCAGTGGCGTGGCTTGCGTGGGTTTGCTCCATCACTGCGTTACTCTCTCTTTACTTTTTACACATTGTTAATGAGCCTTTGTCCCTGCTATAAACGATTGGTCTCGATGAAGCCCTGTTACAGTGGAACTCGGATTCAATGAGCTCGGATTCAACGAGATGTGATAGATTTCCCCATTTTTTTCTTCTTTACAATCAATAAAAATAACCTGGGTTCAACGAGCACTTAAATCAGCAAGCTTGGATTCAACGAGGTCGCTTCCTGGGTTAACAGCCCCCGCAGACATGGCTCGCTCATTTTTCTCCCAGAACGAACTTTATCTATTCCCAGAAACCATCCATTGCACCTGCATCTTGAACCATTATTCGCTTACCCGATTGCATGTGACTAATCAGCGGCCTTTTTTCATACCAACGCATGCGTTGTTGGCATGCTCACGTGTCTACTCTGGCGTGTGTTGGGGTCGGATGGGCGGCCTGCACACGTGTGGCTGTGTGTGCGTGTCGGGGAGGGGGTCCGGGCGTTGAACGTTGCAGATACTAACGCGTCACAGTCTTTCCTTCCCCCTCGGCAACTGATCACTATTACAATGATAAGCTAGTCTAGATGTAAATCTACATATTGAATTGTACGCTGGTCTATGGAATCAAAAGTTGCTGTATGCTAGACTCTACATAGCAACACAACTTTTTGGTAAACAGTTGAGATGACACAGGCGTGCATTTGAACGAATCAGTCTTTTTTTACACAGCTCATAATATGCAGGCATTTAAGGCACCGCTTGTTACTTCTCTTTATACATTACTTGCTCAGTGCCTGTAATTATCTACACAAAACCCCGTGTTTGCTATAACGAACACTCGGATTCAACGAGATTTTATGTCAGGCCCGGCTACCTCATTGAATCGGAATTCCACTTTACTGTAGATATTGTTTAATAGAGACGAAGAGTAGGAAAAAACGGGGATTTTAAAAATCCCTGTTATTACCGGATCCCTGTTATTACCGGGCCTGTTATATATGGTCTCCACTGTACATAACCCTACTTGAAAGTTTAGACCTTATCTTTAGTATGCTTTGAAATTGTACGGGTGATCTTGATGCATTTTTTAAAAAGATATATGCCTTGAGAACTTAAAGACTTAATTTATAGTAGAGAGGTCTAAGTTACTGACCCTGCAGCAGAACATTTTTTTCAGGGTCGTACCTAATGAGCATAACAGCACTTTCACCAGAAAAAATGAGTCTTTTCAATTTGCTATTGCTGACCTTATAGAACAGGAATCAATCACAGCGACTCATTTTTTCCTTGCAAGCAACTGCAGTGGTATGGTAAAAGCAATTCGCTACATGTGAGCTGTGGAATCAGTATGTTTTTTTTTTTACATGTAGGCTCAGCACACTTCTACAGCTAATCTTTTTTATATCTTCGTCTTTCCTTTTCACAGAATGCTGAAGCAGAGGTTGGGTAAAATATATCCAGAGGCATTTGCAGGTTTGTGAATCTTTCTCTTTTGTGTCTTTACTTTTTTTGTGTGTTTTTAGTTGAAAAGCAGGAAGATTGCCGATATTGTCAGTTTACCTGTATATGCTGCCAAAATGGAAAGTGAAAATGGAATGCAATGTTGACCTTGTTTTTGTTTTTGGCTGTTCTTTCTTTTTCTTAAAGGTGATCCTTTCGTGGGAGCTTATTTAGTACTTTCATGGACTTAACTTTGCTCTACACATTTTTTTGGAATTACAGTCTTATGTCTGTAACCACATTTAAAACTGCATTAAACTCTTCTAAATTTTTTTACTCCTATTTCATAGTGGACTTCTGGTGTCCTTCCTAAGTTTTGGTCTACAAAATAGATTAGCAATCAACCTTTGCAATGTGCAAATACTGTAGTATAAAACCTTTTAAAAATCTTAACAGTTAAAATGTTAAAGTTTCTATTCAGACCAAGAAAACTTGAATCTTTGGGATATGGTTTTGTATGTATTTCGGAGGGTGAACTTAAACTTTCTGATTTTTTAAGGATTTAGCAAAAGGTGATGGATTTCCGAATGAATCTATTGATATTCGAGAATGCCAAGTAACGGTTGATTTCCCCTTCAGTTTCAGAGAACAAACATTTCTCGTTCAAGCACAGTAGAATTGTAAATGGGCTGGTTCATCATGTCACGCTCATAACTATACCTGATCTTCAACAGGGAACTTTCTTTCCTAATCCTTACTATTGTCATTCTCCTCTACTTCTTTTGTATGTTTGTCACACTCTTGTGACCCGCTATTTCCGGGGTGCCTTGATAGTCGAAGCAGACTTTGTGCTGTGGAAGCTAGAGAGGTGAGTAAGTCTGATTCCCTGAAAGGACTTCTCTGTTGACACCCACCCCTTGGCGCTCATATGACCTTATGCAGTTGCGAGCGCAGTAAAACCCTCTACTAAAAAAACCAAACTTATCCTTGTTCCTGTTCACCGAGTTTTTCATGATTTCTTTCATCCTTATGTCTGTTCAGAGAGTTTTTCATGATTTCTTTTATCCTTGTGCCTGTTCAGCGTGCAGCAGCGTGTACGTCATGTCAGAAGCAGGTAATGATGACGACGACAGTGAGGAGGAGCGAATCGTACAGGTGTCGGGAGAAGCGGCTGACACACGAGATATTTCGACCTCGACCACAGAGCTGAAGACGGCGTCACCTCCCCTTGTGACTGTCACTGAACCGCACAAGGAACCAGAGACGGAACTGCTAGTGGACATTAGTGACTCTTAAGACTTGATGGCTTTTGAACGTCACCTGTTTCTTGTGATATTGAAATGACTTGTGAGGGGAGGGGGGGGGGGGGGGGGGGGGGGGGGGGGTGAAGTAGAGTTTTGAAATTATTACATCTATTTTTTTACTCAGGTATAGTGTTTTCCAAGTATTGATTTTTTCTTTCCTTTTGTTTGTTCTAAGATGGTTACTGAAGAGAAGAATGGAGGAGATCGAAGTAAGATAAGTAATATTGTTTATGGGAGCTAGATATTATTGAATGACGTGGCCAGAACTTAATTGTGTGGAACTAACTCCACACAGTATTTTATTCTCCTTTTTCATGTCAACATCTAAAGAAAGTTCCATTTCAAACTTGTTATTTACTTTCAATGTTGTCCTCACTTGCTGTTATATATAAAAGTCAGCATTCTAGAGGAAGATACAACATTCTCTTTATGACAAGAAATTCTATGTGCTAGCGCTTTAGCAAATTATGTACTTATTAAAAATTTATGTGTGTAGAAAAGAGAATAGTAGGGGCACAGTCATGAACAGTAACTTTCATTGCTCATATTGTTTATCCCTCTTTTCAAGAAGTGCTATGTGTACTTTGAGCTTATTTTGGACTTTTGTACAGGTTATCTTGGTCCCAATCCTCTGTATGGCATTTTTGATGCTTGGTTAGTTGAGGAGCTTTTATGGCTCTATGTCTTTTTGATGCTGCCCTGTTTGGAGTTGGGCTTTGAAAGTTAGGTTTTTCTGCTTCTTCAATTAGGTCACTTTATTGATAATGGTGTTAACCCCTTTCTGTGACAAAAAAACCCTAAGAAATATTACTCTTAATTGTCAGTATACTGTCAGTTTTGATGTAGTGTTTTAGTAGGTTTTAATTGTTCAACATCCCACTTAAGAGAATTAAATGTCTATATTAATATGTTATGTTGAACTAACATTTTCTGGGAGGGGAGGAGGGGGATGGTCTTTGTGGCTGAAGAAACAAGTTGCAAAGGGGACCTTCAGGGAACAGAAACTGAGATCCTGAATCTATCTTGCAAAAGGTAGAGTGGTGGTCATGGGATTGGTGTCAGATTTTTCCCTTGTTTGTGAAAATTTCTCTTTGTTCTGTTCTTTGTCAATTCGAACAGTTCAAAAGCAACTAAAATGCTCTAGTAAGCTTAACGTTAGTCATATTACTGTAAATTCTCCTCTCAAAAGCAAAAACTGAATGTAAATCAACATTTTATTGGATTTTCATCCAATGAGAGATCAACCAAAATCTACTGTTGTCTCATCGGATGATTTTACAGGGTTTTTGACAAATTTTTTTTGTGTATGTTTAAGGAAAGTGCTTTGCCAAGATACATTAACATAAAATAAGTGCAATAGTTTGGTGCTTGCTGAAGAAGTTGTGTGCTTGTGTGCTTCTAAGTTTATGCTTGAGGTGCAGTGACAAAGAACTGTGTGAATATTAAAACTATTTTTGTGTTTCTTAAGTTACCAGAATACATGGTACATACTTTTGTTTGTGTGTGTGTGTGTGTGTGTGTGTGTGTGTGTGTGTGTGTTTGTGGGATGTTTGTTTGTACTAGTGTGTAGTTCTATTGATTGCTTACTGTTAGATTCTGCCATACACCATTTTTAACCCTTTGAGCCCTGACCTCCTGAGGCTACTGTGCCCCTCTGCCTGAGCTCCTGAGCAATTCACACCTTCATTCATATGATTATTGGAATCACATTCCCTATCCCACTCGTGGTAGTCCTCGTCAGTACCAACATCTAATTCAGAAAAATCTTCAAAATTACCACTAGGGTCCTATGTAGCGTACACTGTTTGCCATGCGTGTTTTGCCTCGGGTGGACCAGTTTGAGAATCGGGTTTCACTCATCGCTGTACCGGTGGCTAGCCATACGGGCAAATTAACACGCCACCAGTGTACCTGGTGGCTAGGGCTCAAAGGCATAAAAGTGACTTGACAGTCTTACACTGAGCGGTCAATATGTTCTTGAAGGAAATAAACTGACAGACAAGCAAACAGATAATCAATGGAGCGAAAAGAACTTATGTGTGATCAGAATTTCCAAATTCAGAGGAACCGGTGGCTTGTCAAAAGTTTTCTCTTTTGTGAATGAGTGGTGATTAGTGTGATATAACTTCATGTGGAGATGTGATTGGTTTCCCAGAGCATTATTTATTAAAGTCTTGAAGTCATGATGCTATAAATAGTGATCTTTGGTGAAAATTGGTGAATCTAAAATCCTTATGTGAAAAATGGGTATGTATTATTTTGGACATGCATAAAATGACAATAGTCTGACAGAGGAAACGGAATATAGGGATACAGTGGAATCCTGTTACAACGAGGGGGAGGGGATCGGAGCAAAATGTCCGTTATAGCAGGATTCTCGCTATAAGTATAAGGGTTCCTGTAATATATTCAAGGGAAACTGTAAAGTAGGCCGAATCTATGAGTTTGGTGTTCTGTCTATTTCCTTTTGCTATCTTTCCTGATGATGGTTTTGTTTCAACATGACCTTTAGGTCTTACTTGATCAAAAATCGAATCAGGTTTCTTTCTCTAGAGCTAGTTTTCCCCCACCCCACCACACCCTGTGGTGCATTCCGTCAGCTTGCGCACGTCACTCATTCGCTCCAACCATCAAATCACTGTGACCTCTCCATCCCCGCATCGGAGAAGTTTTTCTCGTTTTTTCCGGACTCGTTATAAGTGGACTCCACTGTATCTTGTAAGGTCTCATAAATTTAGAAAAGTGCTTGCAGAGGGTCTGTTACTTACAGGCTTTGTGCTTTCATGTGTAAATGCATTTGCACTGTTCCTCTTCAGTGCACAAGAAGCTTTATGTATTGGACAATACAAAAGAGTTGTAATTGTATCGGACATGGCTCAGAAAATGCTTAGGACTTGCCGTAAGAAATGTTACTGATTCCTTTTATGAGTTGTAAGAAAAGCAGTAATGAAATTGAGAAAAACAATCTGTCAAAATTTGAGTTTTTTGCCATCTTTGGATAGGGTAGTATTACACTCTATAATCCTGCTCAATAAATCGTAGAGAAGGTACAAAAAATTGTGTTCTGTGATTTTATGACATTTAAATGTTTGACAAAGAGTTAGTATGACAGCCAGAGGGAGTAACTGAATAGTTTAATGTTTTGACTACTTCATGGTCATTATTTATATTCATGTTGATGTGCAATTTGTGTTAGAGAATATATATATGTAATTGAATAACACTCTTTTCCCCCGGAATGTTTTCCAAGTGCTTTGTAGAAAACCTTTGGTGGAGCTGCCAGTGGTGATGTGCTTTGTGGGACTGTCTTAACTGGTGTCTTTTGTCAAGAAGTCCACTCCGCAAGCTTGTTGTTGTTGTTTTTGCTTTCTTCAAAAGAATTTGCTCTTTTATTTTGTTTCTGGTATTTTTTCCTGTTCTTTTTCTTCTTGAACTCTTTATCTCCAGCAAGCCGTTCCCAGCAGCTCGCAGTCGCAACCCCTGAGCCGTTGAGCCACTAGCACTAGCAGCGGCTCTAGCGCATTCCTTTATGACGACTTCGACATCAAATTACTTTTCGGCAATTGCTGAAAACAGGTCTCTTTCTTCGGGATTTCATTGATAAGATGAAAAACTATCAAAGTAGACTCACCAGTTTTGATTAAGAACCCATTTAGTGACGTTTTGTCCATTTTACATGTAGCACCAAAGAAGGGGCCTGGCGTAGTGGGTTTACCCCCCCCCCCGATAAAGAGTTAGACGATGACGGTAGACACTAAAGTTGGCCAACAGTTCACTTGTTTTGTTTTAATGATCAATTTAGTGGAAGATTAAGTACCAAAAAAGGGTCTCGACATAGTGGGATTCCCCCCCACAGAGATAAAGAGTTAAAGAAAAAGAATGTTGCTTCTATTGTATCAAGCCAAATTTTTGTGCAAGCCATGATAAGATCATGCATTCTTCAGTTGGTAATGTTGTGTTATGCACCTCAAATAGAGTTCTTGTTCCGTGAGTTCCAGTCCTGTTTTTTCTGCCTCCTGACAGTATTTTTAAGAGAAGTAAATCTTAGTTTTCGAAAGGTTGAAAGGTTTTATTGAGTTATGGGGTCAAGAAGTCACAACAATACATGATACACCAGAAATTGACCTTTGCTCTGGTGAATGAAGACAATTATGTTTCTCTTTTATTCTTTTATTATTTGGACCAATAGTGCTCTTCATAAATGTTGCCCTCTATGGAAATAAAAATAAGATTAAACATACAAGAAGAAACTAAATTGTATGCTGTGATCAGAGGTAATTCCATAAAAGGAGCTCCCATTTTGCAGGACTTGTACCTGTCCCTGGTTCTACTGTCAGTTATCAGTATGTGGTGGAGTGTGTGGTTTCTACTTTTAATCCTGTAGGGATTTGGAACTGTGAACTATTGTTGGTCAACATCTGTGGTGCGGCTGTTAGGCACTTTGCTGTGGTGTGCAGAAGACTGAAGTGTTGGGAAAGTATTTATTGAGTATCTCAGTTTAACTGCTAGGACATTGTATTCCTTTCAGTCAGTGTTGGCCCTTATAAGCAGGGTCAAAGTTATCTGAAATTAATATAAAAGGAACACAGAAAATCTTAGTTGAATCTTAAAAGTCATCTTATGAGTTTTCCACCATTTTGAAAATAGGGTCAGAATGTGTGAAAAGATATAAATACCACAAAATATTTCTTAATCAGAGTTATTTTTTATTTCATGTGCTGTTTCATTATTTAAAAAAACAACCAATTTTTCTAGTTCTTGTATGTTAGAAAACTTGACTCTTTTTGTCATGATCATTAAAAATTGTTATCTTGTGTTCCTTTTTTTTATTTCTCATTTTGGCAGCTCTGCTTTTGGTATATGTAAAAAGTGGACCATTCCTGAGAGTTGAAATAAAATTGTCATGTTTCCTATATTTCTATCCGCAGTTGTTCTGTTTGTCTTAGTCAGATGGTGTACTCTTCAAATCACTCCTCATTCAACCTGAATATAATTACGCTGACTGCAAACATTTATTGTGGCAAAGTTGTGTTAGTAAGAAATCTTGTTTAAAAAATGCTGCTCTGCATTTATGCTGTTTGCTTTTTTTTTCTTCTTCTTCTTTGCATTCCCTCACTAGATTTCAAGGGGAGTCGACTTTTCTTTATTTAGTTTTTATTATTCACCGTTGGTGATTGATATGTTTGAAAGGAGAAGCTGCAGCTTTGAATAGCTGTTAAAACTGGCTCACTCAGCTCAGAAAGACGTGTGCAAATGTTCATGTCAAATGCCTTATAATACTACACATATGTATGTAAATAAATGTAACAATGTGGAAGTTCCTGTATTGTGTTCCAAGTAGTTGTTTTCTTTGTGTCCAAAAAATTATTTGTCTAAAAGTATCTTCAGGCAATGCCTAACAGTGTTATGTTAGCTCCGTATATGATTCTTCAATAATCTCTTTATGTCTCTGTCACCACAGACATGGTGGGGTGGGTAGTTGATGGGCGCTCTGGTGTGATTTACTCCTTCTTTCCTATATATATATATCAAGAGTACTTATCTCTTCTCCTTTCCGTCTTTGTATGACATATTACTCTTTAGTAACACCTCTAATCTTTGGCATGTATATTATGATCTGTTTGTGTTGCAAGTGTCATGAAACTCTTTTGTCTTACTAGAACTAAACAAAGATGTGTTGGGCTGGACCAATGTCATGTTTACTGAGACTGGGGTGTCAATCGGAAGTCCGGTAGGTCCTACTGAATTCCGCACACTGTACTAACAAAAGGATCTGACCCCCAAAATGTGTTGTAATCATCAGACTGGTTGTTTCTATAAATGGTGACCAAGATAATCAAATCAGTTTGATTTTGGAGGAACTGAGCAAACAGTGCCAAAAGGGTAGCTATTGCTCTTCCATGGAGGGAAATTTGGCTGCCCTCAAGTGCATCAAAAGGGGATTTTGACAAAACTTTCTGCAATATGCACTGGCTACAAGCTCAGTAGGTGCCTCGTGATGACATACAATATATAACGACAAAGCTACACTTCAATGTGAATTGAATAAAAGAATGAAACACAGCATGGTTAATTTCAATGATAATGAATATTTATTTGATTTCTATGTCTATAAACAATGCGTATTTTAAAGAGACGGGAGCCACAGTTTTCAGGTTCAGTGGCGAATCAGTCATTGTTCTACCAGGCCCTTCTTTGTGTGCCGTATAGCAGAAAAACACGACAATTCGAAAATGTGGAACTCTCTTTCTTTCTCGCTGGCTTTTATGCTATCACTTTATTTTCTCTTCTCGTTCATGAATCCACACAGGGGCGTCGTCACCATAGATAAACCGAGCGGTTCTTCTCAGCACTTGTTCAATTCGACTGGCAGTCAGGCCGAGAATCTGTATCACTAGCGTGAACCCATACAGCGCCCCGCTGATAATACCGTAAATATTCAATCTAGATAAAGGAGAATCGAGGCCAATGTAAAAATAAGACAGTACAGCCAGCCAAACAGCATTGATGGCGAGGAGACCTCCCAGTGTGCGATTGCGTAATTTCCGGAGTCCGTCTGCAAGTTCTGCTTTTCCGAGCCCCGTGTTGACCTCATTTCCGAGGAGGTTTGACGTCAGAGATTCCCAGAAGGCGTTCTCCTCTTGGGCTTGTTGATCGCCTTTGGAGAGGTCCGTGAGAAGCGAGGAAACAATAGACTGAAGCTCTGACTTTGATTCATCGTCTTCTTCAGCATTGTCTGTGGAATAATAGCAGAATAATTTTTTCTATTCTGTTACCATGACAAATCTATTCACCCTATAGTTTGTGGGGGGGGTCCCCTGGAATGATCTCAAAACGCTGAAATTAGTTTTATCGATTTCCAAGTAATGACTTGAATTGACGTGCGTAACATGTCGTATCAATATTTTTTTTTACTTTGCAATTTCAAACAGTTGCACGCACATACACATGCTGGCCGTAGCAGTGCAACATGTAACACTTTAAAACGTGTGTAAACTCTATACGGTTGATATTTTTGTTCGTTGGTTGTTTTCTTTAGAGTTAGAGTGTGAATGTGTGTGTTTTGGGGAGTGGGGTTATCGTGTTTCTTCTTTTCTTTCTTTCATTACTTTTATCTTAAAATAAAGGACTTCCACAGCAACTAATTATGGTGTCTAGATTTTTCCTTCTCCTGTTAACTCCAGGGAACACCCCCATTCCCACCCCAACTCATTTCTGCACTTTATCTATTGCAGGTGTACGTTATAAAATTATGGTCTGTGAGTAAATATTGCCCAGTATTTAAGTTATTATATACCTAATATGCATATTAAATGCAATGTATGATCTGTCTTTGCCCAGACACCGTTACAAGTGAACTCACCTGACACATTTTGTTGACGCTTCAACTTTTTGCGGTTTCTCAACTTCTTCAGACTTGGCATACACGACAGCTTGGGTAGCTTCGCTTTGTTCTGTCAGAGTAATTATCAGAAAGAGTATGGGGTTATAACAAATCAAAGTGACGACAAAGGCAATCTTTCGAGTAGGAAGGTCTGACATAGAAGATGTACAAATTAACGTAACTATTCTTTCATGTACATTATGTATTTTGCTAACATTGAGAGAGGACATTATTTTTAGCTCCTTAAATGTCTTTCAAATTGCCTGTTTCAGCCTCAGCGCTTGATGTGAACACCCCAAAGCACACACTAGACAACACTTACATTTGTTACGGCTCTTAATTTCAATGTCTGTTTAGGTTTTACAAACACAATGTGCACGAAAGTCACTGATGTCCAAAAACGATTTAGAGACTAGAATCATGCACAGTCATGGTTAGATAATATTATGACTCATAGTAAGCCTACATGAGTACTGATTTGCGTTTTTCTTTCCCTTACTTGATTACTGAACAAGTATCTTATGGTCGCAGACTCAGCGCTATACTATAAAATAGTTATTAAAAAATAATATCATTAACAACTTTTATTGCCCATTAAGCGAATCATTTAGCTTCAGCAGCCAGCTCTTAATGTTATTACCTATTAATTAAATAGAAAACAGAATAGAATAGATGGGTGTGTGTCAAATGACGCGGTTGACAGTACGTTACACCTTGGCACATTACCTTAATAGTCGAAATAGGAATACATTTGCACCTGTTGCTCTTATTCATTAATGCGTAGGGAGCCAGTTTGTTTTTTTACCTCTGTTTTTGCTCTGTAAAATAAACGCTATATTTCATCACTTCTTTAAATGTAGTAGAGATTTTCGGGAAAAAAAAAGGTCTAGAATCTGGACTGACTGAAAAGTTTAAAACTAGTTAAACTGGACTAGATCTAGTTAAAAGTCTCACAGAATAATAAACGTATCCTTATTGTGAATGTTTTATAATGTATTGAAAAACAACAACAACGCAGTACTATACTGCCCCTCCCCCAACCCCCATTCTCAGCTCTTTAACACCTTATGATACTGTTTAGTACTATATAGCACTTGTCCATCATTTCTATTTACCACGAGTTTGGCCATCAGTGTCACGGAGGGAAGAAAAATCACGTTTTATTTTATGTGGGTTTTAATTTTGTTCACGATGCATTTTGCTCGAAAGGGATGGGCGCTGTCCCTTTTCTTGACAGGTAAAAGGCAGACACTGAAGGTTAGCTATTCTTCACCAAATAACCTGGTATGAAAAGGTAGGCTAAGTATTACACTGTTAATTTGTTCTGGGCAGAGCAAACAATGAGTCAACTACATCTGAGACACTTGGCGGTCAGTTCTAAAAATGCCATCTGTTTACAAGTTTTATGCAGTTGGTTCAGTAAAAGGAGAAAGGGGGTGGGGGGGGGTCAGAATGAAAGTTTCACTAAACCAGGAAACACAACTTTGAAGGAAAAAGTGCCAAAATTAGACCTGGTCAATAAACCGAAAAAATGTCTTTAGATATTACTGTAAATTATATTTCACGTCTATTTTGAGACCGTTGAAACCATAAGTATTATAAACTATAGGAAGGCGGCTTCGATCTCTACTGCCATGACCATTTGGGGTCATTGGGAATCGGTGCCCTTAATTTGGTTCCAAATAGAGTCAAAAAAGCGCGCTCTGTGGTGAGCAGGAATCCAGCCAGAGAGCTTAGTGTCGAATATGATAATATAAGTCTATGCACCGTATCTGACACCTCAACAACAAGAACACAACAACAGCGGCAACAACAACAACAACAACAGCAGCAACAACAACAACAACAACAGCTGCAGCAACAACAACAACAAAAACAAAAACAACAACAACAACAACGGCGGCAAGAACAACAACAACAACAACAGCAACAACAGGATAATGCTCAACAACAGCAACAACCACAACAGTTACAGCAACGACAACAACCACAACAACAACAACAACAGCAACAAAAACAACAACAGCAACAAAAACAACAACATGATGATTTTCAACAACAGCAACAACCACAGCTACAAAACAACTACATTAGTAACACCACCACCATCACCATCACCACCACCAACACTACCACCACCACTACCACCACCACCACCACCAAAACCAAAAACAACAACAACAACAACAACAACAACAACAACGTAACGGCGTTCTCAACGTACCGAGTCTCTCGTTCCCCAGCTCTGATCAACAATGTTGGCTATGCTGTAGATGGGCAGGAGGACGTGCATGGCGGGGAAGATGAAGAGGTAGGCCACGCCGTAGACGATCTGGTAGCTCTCCCGGGGGTGCATGAGGGCGGCATACACGAGGCTCAGGGCCAGCAAGAGGATCACGTAGTGCTGCTGGAAGTGAAAGTTCCCGGACTGGGCCTCTGGGGAAGGACAGGGGTGTAGACGAGTTGTTGTTGTGGTTGTTGTTGTTGTTGTTGTTATTGATATTGTTGTTGTTTTGTTGTTTATAATGGTGATGATACTGATGATGATGTTGTTTTTTATAATAATGATTTTGTTGTTGTTATTGATATTGGTGATGGTGTTGTTGTTGATATTGGTGTTGTTGTTGTTGTTGTTGTTGTTTTTGTTGTTGTTAATATTGATGATGATACTGATGATGATGTTGTTTTTGATAATAATGATTTTGTTGTTTGTGCTGTTTTTGTTTTGTTATTGCTGTTGTTGTTGTGGATATTAGTGATGTTGTTGTTGTTGTTGTTGTTGTTGTTGCTTTTGTTGTTGTTGATAATGGTGATGATACTGATGATGATGCTGTTATTGATAATAATGATTTTAATAATAATCATTTTCATAATAATGATTTTATTGTTATTGTTGTTGTTGTTCATGTTGTTTTTGTTGTTGTTGATATTGGTGTTGTTGTTGTTGTTGTTGT